TAGGGCCCCCTGTTTTCGGAAACCCCCATATCGGGTAAAGTTGAAAGCAAGCACTAAACCCGTAGACCCTTGCCTCATTGTGGTTCCAGTAAGCTACCGCGTAATGGGATGCATGCGACAATCAGGGCTCAGGAATCTACTGTGTTGCAGGCTACTGTTTGTGTCTGGACTCCAAAATCTCGTGCTTAGAAGTCTCGTGGCAGCAAGGTGCTTCAGAAAGTGACGAATTTGTCAGTTCCGCAGTACTCTTGAAGACTCCCAGTGCGCGACCTCTTTATGCTCTCATGCTCCAGTGGCCAGAAATCGTTGCCATGAGCAGTTTTTCGAGCCTAGAGCAGGTATTCTCTGTATGCTCGGAATCCTAGATTTACCAGCATTTCTGGCCCCAAGCTTGCAGGAAGGCATGGTTATGAAACCCTACTACCAGTACCGTGCGTCCGTCCAGCTGTGTGGGACCCCCGCAGATCACTTTACTCCTTCACCTTGCATCGCTGGTTTGGGGTTGATAGCGTTTGGGATTTGGGGTCAGATGTATGAGGTGTAGGAAGCATAGTTGTTGTCAAGAGTTTCGGGCTATCTAATAGCCGTGCTCAACATGTAAAACCGCCCGTTAATTTGGGAGTTTCCAAAATTTAGGGGTACCTTACTTGGGTCCCTATAATAAGGATCCTACTATGTAGGGTACTATCTTAGGGTCCTCTATTTTCGGAAACTCCCATTTAGCCTTCTCTACCGAGGCCAGCCCCGCGACTTTCGCGGCGACGACGACCAGTGGTGGGGTGTTCTGGCGGCCTTTCGGGCAGACTGAGGCAGGGAGTTATGGACGTTCAATATAAGGTCGAAGCCTACTGCAATAGCAAGGTTTGTAGATCCCCAAGAAGTCATCTGAAATTTCCAGTGTATCTGGACGTGTCCAATGAGGGTTTCTTGACCCCGAAACCCTATGCCTCGCCTGGATTGTCCGAGCGTAAGCGCCGAAACCACGCTGCAGGGTCTTAGGGTGTAGGGCGCTTACCCTGTACCCGAATCCCCATCAAAACTCAAGCCGTGGAGCTACTGTTCAACCCCCGGCTGCACCCTGAGATGCATCTCCAAGCTTCGTCGCAGATCCTTACTTAGAGGATCATGGGACTTAGTAAATAGGGCTATAATTAAGGTAACTATACTTATAGTTACTTATAACCCCAATTAGGGTACTTATCACCATACTTACTAAGTCCCATGATCCTTTGAAAATTGAAACCTCGGGCTGACACCTGATTGGAGGATCGAGTGCACATGGGTTTGGAATGATTGAAAACACAATTTTTTGCACAGGGCTGCTGACGAACACAAATATACGAGAGCCTGCCCCCCAAATCTTAGTCCAACTATATATGTACCCCCCCCCATTGAGTCTTGGGGCCTATCTACTCTTCTCGCCCGAAATCTTAAATCATAACGTCTAAACCTTGGGTACGGCCCCCACTCAGCGACAGTTGGACAATTTTCATAATATAGATATTTAAGGCCTTTAACAGTAGCCCTAATAATTATAGACTGTTACTGTATGGGGGCCGCACCCAATCTAAACCCGGCACAAATCCCGCCGCAGGAGCAGGCCGCTTCGAGCTTCAGCAACCCGGCTGCCCGAATCCAGCAGAGCCCGCCACACGAAACGAAAGAAGGGGGTCCGGTTAGTTCTATAGGCCCCTAAACCCTAAACCCGAAACCATTATATGAGTTTGTGTTCAAGAGTTTTTTCTGGATCTACAAGGGTCGTTTGGAACGGTCGAAAACAGAGAAACTATCAGCATCTCTCAGCTTTACCGGGTGGTATGGTTTAAACTGTATTGTTTATTGTTTACAACTTCTTACACGCACCGTCTTCTGCGAACGCTGGGAAAGACTCTGCAGTTGATTGCATTGGGCACTAGTTTTGGCAAGATTGGTATGAGCAGGTTGCTTCGCTAGGCATCCATACACAATGGCACGAAACCTGCTGGCGGAGGGTTTGCGGCTTTCTCGACTTTAAGGCCGTGGGGGAGGGTTTCGGAGTTACACGCTTCCGGTTGAATATATCAAGGCAAACCACTGCGAAACCTAAGAACAGAACTCATGATGAAAGGAACCGTTTTCTTCGTAATTAAGTAAGGATATGAATGTGCAGCTATACTTATAACCTACTTATAACAACTTCAATTATCCATTATGGCTTCTGCTGAGGTTTTCGTACTACGTACTACTGCACCGGAACCTCCCGGTAGACTCTTGAGGCCGTACTCTAATAGGGCTTTGATGCCATGAAACCCTGATTTCTAGACACTACCGCAAAGAACCAAAGCCCCAGATCCTGCTAGTGGAGCAGCAAGCACAGGAACATGTTTTAAACATGAGTAGCATCCTGCGTAGCTCGTTTTGCACAGTCCGCGAGGGTTGTTGCCTCCTCTAGGCACTTCCCGATGTCCAAGACCTACATCTTAATCTTCAAACCAGGGTACCTTCACCCCAAAAGCTTCTACAAGCCTAAAGAAATTCGATACAGCGCAAACGAGTTTGGACCTAAACGTTACCCTAAACCCTGAAAGCTCTAATCCCTTTTAAAACTCCACAGCACCCTTGCATCAACGAGAAAACTTTGACGCGCTTTCACCCTTAGAGCGACAGTGTTCAGGGCTCGACGATCCAGTCCAGCGCTTGCCCCTGAGCCCAGCGCCTCCCCAGCAGCGTTTGGAGGAGATCCATGGGATCCTTTTGTGACCTTGTTGGGCTTCATTATAAGGGGGCTTGTTTTGGATATCCTTTTCCTAGTGTTTGCTTCTGTGCTTCTTTGGGGCCCTATTTTGGAGTTCACATCAGGTGAAAATACATTCCTGGGTTACTAGCTTTTTGTTCCGCAGGGCAGGTTGCGGTGGCCGTCAGGAGCAATTTCCCATAAGTATTGAGGCCGAAACTCATGAGAGCATGTAGCTCAGATCAGATGCCAAAAAAGAAATTGATAGAGCTCCACGACGACCAAGACGACCACAACTCCCACGAGGATAAGAGCAGCCTCAAATCGTAGAACAGTATGTTATCATGACGCCATACTTGAGGCCAGATTCCAGAAATCTTCAGGGTCATCGGACCCCATAAACCGAAACCCATCCCACCCTTCCTTTCTATCACAAATACTCACGATTAAGGACCATAAGGGCTCCATTGACGGGCTCTCGGTGTCCTGGATGCATTCCCCAAAGGCTCCATGTACCCATATAGTAGGTACTTCGGCCTTAAAGTACCCATATAGGGACCCCTTTAAGGCCTAAGTACCTACTATATGGGTACATGGATCCTTAGGGTTCCGAGTGCCGCGACTCCCTCGCAGGACGCCTGCCGCGCACGGCGAGCTCAGACTGCCGTGGAGGTTAGCGAGCACTTTGGAGCGACCTGCCTGATGTTTGAGTACTTTAAAGGGAACTCCAGAAAGTTGGAATATGGTTTCAGGGTAGGACCTTATATGTTACCATAAAGGGTTTAGGATAGTTTGAGTACTTCGATGATATAAATCCTGCATTACCTTAAGGACCCTAGACTATGGGATGGTATATTCCTTATTATGGGTAGTGCAGGATTTATATCATCAACCGTTCAGGGCTTAGGGCCAGGGTGTTTCAGCAATTCAGGGTTCAGGGTGTAGGGCTTTAAACCCGAAGCCCTAAACCTAGAACCTACAGACCCGAAGAGTCTACCCTCCATAAGACACTATTAGTACCTGCTCTTTGGGGCCATATGATTTAAGGGTACAGGGAGGGTCCTGGAAGCTCGTGTTTGAGTAGAGTTTTTTCCCAGAGAGTGCTAGGGTTTTGAAACGTATCTCATAAGGCATTGTACGAACCTAGTAGTATAGGAGGTAATTTACAATCTTTTTGGGATACAATAGACTATGATCCTTGTCGAATCCCAGTATTCTTCCAACAGGTTAGCTTTTAGTTCACCAGGATGCTCGACAAGTATGCTGCAAAGGGTTAGATTTCTAAGGGTTGCACGTCGTTATTTAAACCTTGTGGCATTCGGGGTGCAGATGCCACTCCAACTATCACTTACGTGGATTTACGTGGCATATATGAGTCTTACTTGTGGACTATGGAATACCACAAGAGGTTTAGTACTAGTCATGCGTACCGTTAGTTCGACTTTTGCAGCTGTGTGTTTCTCAGTAGTGCTAGTTGGTAGAGACCCTAGACCCCACATCAAACACCGACAACTTTCGACGTTTCGCTCCATGTGCCTGAGAACAATGAGTCAGCATATGTTCGCTGCACAGGAGACGAGAGTGAGGTTAGGGTTGGGGGTTGTGGGATGGGGTGCCCTCCTAGCGTATGGAGGCTTCTATTTTGCTTGTTCTATGGCTTCCGCTAGCCTAAATCAGGTCCTCTGTGGTGTAATTGAAATCGGCAACATGGCACTGTCCACTACGAAGCTGCAGCACTGCAGGGCAATATTGGACATAATCGTCAATGAAGATATATAGCACGTTCTTAAGAAACTGCAGGCTAGGTGTCACGAATGTGCTTCCGGCAACAAGACCCGAAGCAAAGGGGCCTGAACCGATAGAAAGGTTCTGAGCTTTGATGGTGCAAGGTTTTAGGCACTTTTCAGGAGTCAGCTTTCTGGGATTGTGCAAGCAAGCTTTTTCTGCTCATGTGGCTCTGAAGCTTCAAGAACTTTTGGTAAGAACGTTGCAAAGGTCATTTCGGATTGGCAGCAGCCTCATCTAGACCTGGGTGAAGCCTGTTGCAGCAGTGCTTGTTTGCAGGTCGCTACGGTATAACTTAGAGGTATCTCGCACTGCTGACATTGTCACATCTTGTCCAAAGTGTGGTTTTTCTGTTTGTCCATCCGAAGTTGAGTCATTTTATCTTGTGCTTGTTCACATGACATATGGCATAGGCATAGACCACCTTTTTGGAGTCCTTCGTCCTTTATCTTCAACAGCATCCCCCCACGGCCCCGTTTGCCTCGCATGATGTTTTGTGCCAATGGCCGTGCAAGCTGGCCTGGCACTTCTCATATCCCCCTGGGCATCTAGGACGCGGACGGCAAGCCAGTCGATTCTTCCAGTCTGCTCTGGCCTCCGACACGTTCCAGCGCGGCGTCGGGCGCATGCTGCGTTGCAGCGGCCCCAACATGTCGGGTGGGTTCCCAGCCGCATGGAAGCACGGACGCACGCTTCCACAAGCTCCGGACATGCCCAAGCTCCGAGCAGTTTTCATCGCAGTTGTGGACTGAGGGCGGGTCAATTTGTCTGCTTTGGATACCCCGGGTATAGTTTGCAAGCAGAGTTGGGGCCAGTTGTGGCAGTTTCAGCGGGTGAATCGCACTCCTGTGCATTGCGGGCAGATGGTCAGCTAGTCTGCTTCGGAGACAGCGAAAACGGACAGTGCGAGGTGCCGCCGGATTTGGGACCGGTTGTGGCAGTTTCAGCAGGCTATCGTCATACATGCGCAGTGCGGACAGATGGTCAGTTAGTCTGCTTCGGAGACAGCAGGTATGGGCAGTGTGATGTGCCAATTGATTTGGGAGCGGTTGTGGCAGTCTCTGCAGGGAGTCTGCATACATGTGCCGTGAGGACAGATGGTCAGCTAGTCTGCTTCGGAGGCAGCAATAAATATGGCCAGTGCGATGTGCCAGCAGATTTGGAACCATTCGTGGCAGTTTCAGCGGGCAACACCCATACATGTGCAGTGCGCGCAGATGGTGAGCTAGTCTGCTTCGGAGACAGTGAAAACGGACAGTGCGACGTGCCGCCGGATTTGGGACCAGTTGTGGCAGCTTCCGCAGGCTACCGGCATACCTGTGCAGTGCAGGAAGACGGTCATCTATTTTGCTTCGGAGACACTGAAGATGGGCAGTGTAATGTTCCAGCAGACTTGGGACCCGTTGTTGCAGCTTCAGCAGGCTATCGCCACACCTGCGCACTGCGGGAAGGTGGTCGGTTAGTCTGTTTCGGACACAGCAGGTATGGGCAGTGCGATGTGCCAATCGATTTGGGACCGGTTGCAGCAGTCTCAGCAGGTAGTTTTTACACCTGCGCTGTGCGGACGAAATGGACGGCTCATGCGCTTAGCAGCTTATAGACGATCGCACCAGGAATCTCTGTAAGCCCCTGGTAGAACCGCTCTGGACTGGTTATACCATACTGAGCCCTCCGGTGACACCCGTAAACCAAACCCTAAACGGTATGATCCCTGAAGCAAGCCTGACACAAGGACCGTACCGAGCAGATGGTTGCCGATGCCGAGGTGCAGAAGATCTTTAGACGACATGGCTTTATAAAGCTTTAGGAGTGCGAAAAGGATCAGTGAGGCCTGTATCACGCACCTTGTTGGGGGTCCTGGATGGTCCTGGCAATGTGTGGGTTTTTGGTGCCATTCTCTATCTCCCTACATTCTCCAGATCTAAGTATACCAACACATCGAACCGCTGCTCAGATTTCCATGCTTGCTAAAGCCCCGAAGCTCCAAGAGCCTTGTTGCCATTGCAGAACTAACGCAAGAAGGTATACCTTTAACCCTGTAAGCTGTTGCAGCACTGTGTCCATAGCTGAAGTGTTTTCTTAATAAGCAGATCGTTTATTCAAAAGATTGTGCGTCAAGCTTGCACCTCCTGGAGCTTCGGACACAGCACAATCCATAGCTGAAGTAATTTCCTGATTTCGCAGAGCGCTGGTTCAGAAGATTGCGCGCCCCGAACATGTAGATAAACTCTCATCCGAAATCCACGCCTGCTTCGTGCGAGTGCGCGAGTCGAAACCCCTACTGAGAGGATCATGGGACTTAGTAATTAAGGTCATAAGTAGGTTATAATTAGGATAACCCCACTTAGGGGACTTATAACCCCAATTATAACCTACTTAATTACTAAGTCCCATGATCCTCTAAGTAGGGGCTACCGAAACCAAAAACACTGCGCCCCTGTGGGTATTCGCAAGGCAAGGTCGCAGAGTCGCTCCCTGGCTCTAATCAGCAAAAGGCTGATGATAGAGTAGGAGCCCGAACAATTAGCAATACTATTTTTGGGTGGGTTCCTTATTATGATAGTGTAGGAGCCCGAATAATTAGCAATACGATTTTTGGGTGGGTTCCTTATTATGATAATGTAGGAGCCCGAATAATTAGCAATACGATTTTTGGGTGGGTTCCTTATTATGACTATAGTATCATGGGCCCCAAACCCCTGTTCTAATCATTAAGGCCTCTTTCTTACAGGTTTGTGTTGCAGTTCGTTCCTTGTCCTTGGTCGGGTTTAGGGATTGGGGTTATGAATCTCCGGCCAGAGCTTCGTAGCCGTCGTAGCCCTGATGCCAAAACAGGGTTGAGGATTAGGGTATGTTAGGGTTAGCTAGGCTCCTTTCCGGGTTCTGACTGGTTTTTGTTTTTGAGTATTTCTATAGGGTTTCGCAGCGATGCACGGTTCTATCTGGCTCCTTGTGGGGTTTTCTGGTGTTTTTCCCAAGGGCCTTAGAGGTTGAGCAACTTTCTCTTATAAGGCATGCTTAGGGTCCGGAGCTTCAAAACCCTGTCAGTCTGAAACAAGAAAGGCCCAGCGATCCACAACCCCTTCGAAGCCACAACCCCAGAGGAAGAATACGCAGACACGTCCTGTTCCCCGAACTCTACATGCACACGTCCTAAAACCTAAACCCGACACATGTCTAAATACTTCCTAAGCCCTCCTCGAACCGTACGCCTCGCCCGGTTTGTCCGTGCTGTGAGGGCCGAAACCCAAACGTCCTAGACGCTGTAACCCCCGAATTCCGAGCCCCAAACCCTAAACCGCAACCCTGACCCAAATCACGCGTCCCTCAAATGGGGGTTTCCGAAAATAGGGGACCCCAATATATAGCGCCCAAAATAAGAGGATCCTTATTATAAGTACCCCAACATAAGGTACCCCTAATTTTCGGAAACTCCCAAATAAGCCATGCACCGAGGCTATCGAAGCTGGGCTTTGGCCTCCGAGGTTCCAAAGGATGCGCGGGCTTGGAAGGCCGGTCCGTTGTTTTTTAAAGGTCGTAAGGGGAAATCCAGAAAGTTGGAATATGCATTAATGGTAGGATCCCCTATAATTCACCTTAAAGCGGTTACGATAATGATATTCCAACTTTCTGGCTTCTACTGTAGTAGAGCAGGTAACCTTTAACATAGTGTTTTGGAGGTACAATCCTTCTTTTTTCACAGTCCATAATGTTAGCCTTTAGTTTCCCTAGGATGTTGGACAACAAACTTTAAAAATCTATAGGTTGTTTGAAGGTTGCTCATAGTTTTTTGCGGTGTATGAATTTGTCATTATGTCATCCTCTGGCAGTCTCTAAGTCGCTATAGCATACTAGCACATATCTATACTATGTCCCAACTTCGTTTCCAGTCATCCAGGCCCCTGCGTTGTACCCTTATCGCAACACGTGTAGAACCGTTTTGATTCTGAGAACTCTTATAAACAACTCCTATTTAAAATCCTGAACCCGTTAAAGGAAGCGGAATGCCAATAGGGTGCCAAGGCTCGGAGCAAGCCTTGACAAGAAACGCCGAAGCCGAGCTCAGCACGACGAACTTTGCAAATTAGGGTTTAGGGTTTAGAAGACCAACAAGAAATCCCTTTTTTGGTTGAATCCTTGAAACCCCAGGCCCCTATGATGAGTCAGGAGGACTTGTAGCCTAAATAGCCACATTTTTGCGAGGATTCTAAGGAATCTAATATGTTCGTTTTGGCGGGTGTTTGGAATTGAATAGTTATAGTTCTAACTAAATGCCCGACCTCCAAGCCCCATGCTAAGCCTATACCAAACCGATCTTCCAGAATCTGCAGCAACCAGAAGCTCTTGCAACACAGCAGTGTTGTATCTTCCGGGTGCAGGAGAGAGTCCTACCATTCTTCGACGACTTCGCGTCGACTTGCTCCTCTTTGTCCCTCGGTCTTCTGGGACCACAACTTGAAGCCTGAAGAGCCTCACTGAACCTTGAACCCTAAACCCTACCCAGAGGAGGAAAAGGGCCGTTCAAAAAAAAGAAACTACCCAGAGGGTCCGAAAGGCTTCATCCATAACGACTCGACAGAAAACCTTGAACCTAAGACCTTATAAAGCCTGGTTAGAGGTTTCGGGCTTCTGGTCTTTGAGGCCAGAGGGGTGAGTCTTAGAGACTTCAGCCTCGCAGTGCAGAGAGGGAGACGGGGACAGGGACAGCATGGGTTCTTTCCACGATTTTGTCTTAAGTTTGTGTAAACCTTATAAACCCTAAACCCCAAACCCTACACCCTGAACCGTGAGCTCAGCGGACTTAGTATCTGAAGCCATGCCTGCCTTGTACGAGTGTGTGAGTCGAAAAGGGTTCCATGATGGCATCCTCCTTGAGAAAAGGGGGGGAAGTCATAGGCCTGGGCAGGGTTCTATGATGGGTTCTTGGGCCGGAAAGGGGTTGAATGTAAAGGTTGAAGTGGGATTCGAGAATGTGAATTCTGTGTAACTGGAGCCCCGGCCGAGGCGTCAGGCGCCAACTTTTTCGGAGGATTATCTCGAGGCTGAGAACATCGTCGAGGTCGAAGGGAGGGCTCATGGTATGCAGTTTAGGGGGCTAGGAATTTCGAGTGTTAGGGCTTTCCGGACATGAAGTTTTGAAGTCAGCTCCAGGACTCAGTCTGTGGATAGGAGTTCTTGGTTCAATTCAAACGGCCCCGTAGGCCTCAATCAACCGTCTTCCAGGCCTTCGGGTTCAAGGTGTAAGATGTTCGGGCCGCGTTCCAGATGCGTCAGCACCAGGGCTCTCTTCAAAGCTTTAGCCGCGATGGGAAGACTTGTTGGCATTCTGCGTGCCTTCGTTTTGTCTTTATGGGAAAATTATGAACTGAACATCCGGCTTGTGAAGCAAGCGAATGCTCGAGGCCCCTTTAAATCCCTTGCTTCATGTGTGTCACAAGTTGTCCGTTTGAAGAACAAACGAAGACATCGACCCGATGACTTCACACCCTACAAACTCCCAAAAAGAAACCCTGTGTGCACCCAGGATACACCCAAAACCCTGTGAAACCCCTCAACCCTAAGCTCTGCCGAGCCCAAACTCTTAATCCGCGAATTGCCAGCAGCTTCAAGGAAAGCTGATTGCCCAGACCTTCCAAAATCCCTTAATTAAGGAATATACCTTAAATTATATTGAGGATCCTACTATAATTTAAGGGATATTCCTTAATTAAGGGATTTTGGAAGGTCTGACTGAAGCCGTATGAAGGCGCTCCAAAGTCCTAAACCCTCAAACCCGTAGACAGCCTATACAAAGACTTTGTAAATCGTTTTTATATTTAGACCTCTAAACCCCAGCACCGGCCGTGCACCCTGAACCCTGTGTAGGACAACAATATAAATATATATATATATACATACATACAGATGTTCTCATAATATTCGTATATGTATGTAAACAAATAGGGTTGGGATGCTTGGTAATACTATCCCCTTGTAGTCACAATTGAGGTGTAGTACAATGGAGCCAAAAGCGTTGGGGTTACTTTCGTTATGACCAGAAAAGGATTATTCAATGGCGAGTCTAGGCAGGGCGCCAGGCCGCTAGGCAACACCCTCAGAAACCGTCTTCTCTTAAATAGGCATTAGTTTCAAGCCAAACTATATACTATTTTGGTACATGGATCCTAAACCCTATGAACCCTTTGGGATCAATCCCTTCGAATGCGCCTCTTCTCCAGGCGAGCGTACGGCTTCCTGTCGTCAGCCTCGCGGCCATATCTTAGCTTCTACGCCCGGTTTAGGTTTAGGGTTCAGGATCCGTTTGTTCACAGGGTTGATAAGCGGAAAAAGTCATTCTAATCGACAAGGCACTATGCTAGTGACTAGTGTTGCACAGTTTCGTCGGTGGTTCATGGTTTGTTCGGACGTTAGACGGTTTCGTGTGTGAGTCTGTGTTGCTTAAACTTAGAAGGATTGTAGATAGGTTTAGACGTTTCGGGCAGAAGGTTGAGGGTATCAGAGCCGTTTGCAGATGAGACGTGTAACCATGTGCAGTTTAGCGTGTAGGGATGTGTAGCGTGTATGTTGTTTGGGTTTTGGTTCCGTATTTATTTGTCTCGTGCAATACTGCTCAACGAGGGCGGTGGCAGTAACGTTTTAAGTTTAGAGGCTGCGTTGCGGACACCACAAGACGCGGTTGAATGAACGGAAGCCCCTAAACCCCAACAGCCCCAAACCCTAGAACCGAGACCTTGGCTAGGGCTGTTGCGATGAAGCCCTGTAATCCTGAGCTCTCTGAACCGTGAACACTGAAGCTAAGCCGCAAGCCCTGCAACCCTCAGGCTAGCTGCGACAACCCTATATTCCCGACAACCAAATACCCATTAGCCCTCCAATCACACACATCACTAACACCTAAACACGAACCGTCACGAACCTCATAGCCCCACAAGTTTAAGCCTCCCAAACTCCCTGCAGCTTGCCACCAATCACTTCATATAAGCATACAAAAACCTCAGATATGAAATGCTGCGCTCCAAACCTCTATAAAGAAACCTGTACCAGCCACATGCAACCGGTATAATTCCATAGAAGCGCTCTGAACGCTTTATTATCGAGCAGGGAAGATCCCTATAGGAGCCCTTAGAGGATCCCCTTAAGGCCGCAAACTTCTTAAACCCCTAGAGGCCCCCCAAGCCCTATTCTAATTATCAAGCCTCTGGACTAAACCCCTAAGAGTTAGGGTTCCTTTTAAGGGTTACTTTGGAGGCCCCCACCCCCATTACCTTGTAGGGAAGCCGAGCAGGTGCGCAGCTGAGCGAAGACGAGCTCGAGGCACCACCACAGGCGCCGCAGACGGCCGACGAGGCATCAAAATGGGATCTATAGGGTTTACATATAGGAGTTTAGGGCTTTTAGTTTTTGTAGGGATTTATAGGGTATATATATATATATATATATATTAGAGTGAGTTTAGGGCTTTTAGTTTTATAGGGATTTAGTAGGGTTTACAGGGATTTCGGAGTTTCGGCCTTCTTTGTGGATCCTGGTATTCCTGGTACAGGAGCTTAAGGTTTGTAGCACTAATCATAGGGAGTTATAGGGTTTATGGGGTTTCTAAAGATTTCGGGGCTTCAGCCTTCGATTGATTTTCAAATCCTTCAGAGATGTAGGATTCCCTTGGAGAAACCTCATAGCACCCAAACAGAACCGTCATAAACTTGCAGAATCCGTACTGCACAGAAGCCTTGCACTGATCCCAAAGAGCCGAAACCAGCAGGTGGGACAGTGGCTCGCCCGCCACGATGTGCTGCAGACGCTCAAGAGCACCACGGCAGCTGCGCAGTTCACTTTCTGCCTTCAGTGTGCGTTTAAGGTCGAGGGTTCATTTAGGGTTTGGGTTTTTTCGGTTTTTTCGGGCTGGCGGAAGAGCGGCAAACTACCAGGCGTGCTTGCAAGCAAGCCTGTAGCAAAAAGGGTTTTAGGGTTCTTCTTGAGGGGTGTTGGTGTTTAAAGTGTACGGTCATAGTCAAGGCTTAAACAACCGATGCTCCCCTAATTACCCTAGATCCAAGCTTTCGAGACACCAAGAAAATCTGACCCCAACACCCATACCCGAATTAGGTTTTCACGAGAAGGATTTTTCTTAGAAGCTCAGTTACCTGCATAATTGCCTTTTGCTGGAATTGCACCTTCGGGCTTCTAGCCGATTCTAGCCGTCATGGACAGTGACCCAGCCCTAGGTAGAGTTTAAAGGCCTGTTTGGTCAAACGTAAGTCTTCAGCCCTGATGAAGTCAATACTTGCACGGTTTAGGGACTTGGGTTTAGGGCTTGAGTCCCCAGACCCTGCGCCTCAGACCAAAAGCCCTGAAGCCCTGCGCAGATCTTCATCCCTCACACCTCACACCCTCGAAATCCCTAAAGGGAAACAAAGGTCAAGCTGCACCAGGTGATGATGGGATGAACCCAGCATGTTCCTGCGGATGGAAGTCGGGATTCCGCAGGGAGCCGATGACGATGGAGCGGATGGGGTTCCTTTAAGAACACCTTGTATGGATCCATTAAGGTTTAAAGGGTTCCATGGGGTGTTTGGGGCTCAGGTGCAAGCCCTAAACCCTAGACCCATTTAGGGGCATTTAGGGTTGTGTACGTTGCGGGGGATGGGAGAGACGCAGGACTCAGAGCTTCTCTTAGCTTCCTGCAAATTCCCGTGAAAACCCGGTAGACAAAACTGTGTCGATGTTTGTGTTTATAGTGTTGGGGTACAGGGACCTACTAACAATATATGATACAATAATCTACACAAAAATACCATTATATACTAAAAACAGTATCATCGATCATATACCAAAAACAGCAGCATCGGTTATATACTAAGAAGCAGTATCATAAATTATATATTAAGAAACAGCATCATCGTTTGTACTAGAATTTAGGAGCCCGCTTGTGCCCCGCGAGGAGGAAGTCCTTCGAGTCCGGATCCTTGAGCGCGCGAATGCCAGCTTCGCGCGGAGGGCCAAAGCCATGCGAACGACGCGGTAACGACCCGGAACCGTTTTTATAGGTTTTATAAAAATAACAATTTGGGGTGCTTGTGAATTGTTAGCAAAAACAATTCCTAAACCCTAAACCCTTGAGATGAACCCTTAGAGTTAGAGGAGGAACCATCAATAACACCCTGTCGGAACACACCATCTACTCGGCCTTGCACCCTGCTCTCCAGCCCCTACTCGGGTTCTGAAGAGGCCCTTTGAGGGTTTTGTTTTCTGGAGGGTTGTGTTTGATTTCATACGGCTCACTTCTTTGTCCGATTTCCAGAACGATGCTGCAGGGTTTAGAGTCTACTTGCAGGGTCTGGGCACCTGCTCTGCACAGATATAAGTTAGATACGTACCGTATAGCCATATGGCTTCTCCACTACGGCTTGTATTGTAACCCCACTGCTTGTGCTTCTCATGAGGCCTCAAGTATCCTTTCCAGATGGGCGTGTCTGATAGGTAGTTCGGCTCTTGAAATAGCAACAACTAGGTGTTCAAGTCGTGTGGACCCCCTTGAGCAACGGCACCCTCTCCTTAACTGAGGATCACGCGAGGAGTTCCACTTAGATACTGCTCCTAAGCTCGTAGGCCTACATTAAAGATGGCTGCCTTCCCAGGCCCTCCATCTACCCGGTTAGACCTTAATATCCACTAGTTGGGACCGTATACTCCGCAGTTGCTTGAGGGTAAAAGGGGGTCCTGGTGAACGGTTGACCTTTGACCCGTCAGCTTGGTTTAGGACCTAGGTCGGGAAGGGTTGCTTACGGCCCTGCTTTGCAGACCTTTCGTCGCAGTAAAAGACACCCGTTGTGATTCTATGGCAAGGCTTGATTTCGAGGTGTTCTGATGTCTTAACTTGTTTCAGTTGCCCCTGTACCCTCAACCTGTTCTGAGCTCTGGTCTTCAGACCGCCTCTGCCCCCTTGCGCACCCCAAACCATTACTAGCTGCGCGTGGTCCACCAGGCTGATGCCTAAAGCTCAGTAGAATACGGAGACCCTAAAACCGTCAAAGTACACAGCACCAGAGACCTCGTCAAGCATGTCCGAGTTGCGAGAGCGTAAACCCTAAATCCTAAAAACCCCTAAACCCTAAACCCCTAAACCCCTGAACCCTAAACCGCTAAACCCTAAACCCTATAAACCCTAGACGTTTCACCACGGTGGTGTACCCAGAGGGTTCCGCCCCAGTAGGTTTAGTCGGGCGCGCACCAGACCGCGCCTTCGTTTGCAGGAGCCCGTCGGGATCTGGACCTCCAGGGTTTGCGAAATTAAACCCTAAGCCCCTGAACCCTAAGCCCCTAAACCCCTAAACCCTAAACCCTAAACCCCGAAACCGTAAACCCCTAAACCTAAAAACCGTGTTATGGCCCCCTCAAGCTCGACGTGAAGTTCACAAGAGCCCCGAAGTTTGTTCTGCCTGTGGCACCACAGAAGTCTTTCAATGCGGTTACTAGGCATGGTCCTCACTGCAGCAAATCCTGAGTGAGAGGTCCAGAGAGACTGCAGTGGCAGAGCTTGCACGGCTGAGATTCCAAGTACTGGATGCTTGATTATAGTGTAGACTTTAAGGTCGAGCATGGTTTGTTTCGGAGTGATTTACGCATTTCGGAGTTATGGTCTGGGCATTTTTGCAGTTCTCAAGGCCCCTATAGTGTAGGGGCGTAGGGTTTGTGGTCTAAACCCTAAACCCTAAACCGTATATAGTGTATAGTAGTACTATTATAGCCTGAATGTCCAGCCCAACCATGAGTTTCCGGCGGCCAAGAGAGTTCAAATTGCCATAGGTCTCGGGCTTCTGGAAAACGGTTTAAGAGCCTAGGGTTTAGGGAAAACCTCCGGTGCAACCTGAGCCTACAACTCGAGAGTTGTAGACCAGTTGTAAACCCCACCCTTAGCTGATCTTTGCGTTTTATAGGACAACACCCTCTCAGCAGGTTTTAAAGTCTGTCAGCCTAGTTCATAGCAATTAGCAGCGATGGTAGTGCTCGTCAACATGATAATACGAGTCATAGAAGCACTTCAACATATGCAAACCCTAAGCGTCCAGTACGTTCTGCTCACGTTTGCACTGCCACCGATACCCGACCAAAGAAGGCTTCCTCGCTTCCGTTTTAAAGCCTCTCCCGTCGGGTGGGTTTCGGGTACCAGGGATTAGGGTCTAAACAGACTCGTGTCTAGCTTCTGCTATCTGCTTGGATACGAGTCTGGTCCTGTTGTTTTTGATGTCAGGGTTGACGGCGTGTGCTTGTGGGGTTTGTTCGAGCCCCAGTGCCAGAGCCCCGGGACTGCGTAGTGTGGAATTCATCCCAAAGTCCTGCTCCTACCCCAAGGGTCCAAAGGATGTGATTATCGTGTAATCATTCATAGAGGATGCTCTGGCGGTAAGGGTACATAAGAGAACCTTGTGGCTAAAAGTTTGGTTTTGTAACGATGCTGATATCAGATCGGGCCTGCTTGATTGTGTTGTGGGGGGCCGTCGCCGTTTGGGCCCTATTGCCACTGCACTCGCCGATGCCTTGTTTTCTCCATCACGTGCCCCGGGCATTGTTGTCGTGAACTAGCTGCAGAAACCACCTCTTCAGAGCTATGTCACACAAAGTCCAGGGGTGACACACTGCAGCCAATCCTTGGATTGTCATGGTATCTAGACATCTCAATTAATTAAGATTGGAGACTCTTGAGCACAGGGGTTTTATTATGCAGCTAGGAGTCGCGAAACCTTGCCGACGCCGTCCTCTTGCATGAAGCAGTGGTAGTACCGGCAGTTTTCACCTCGGCTTTGTATCTGATCTGTTCTGGCATAAGCTTCGATTTTCAAGCCCGACTGCAAATGTGAGTCCAAGCGGCGATAAGCCACCTGATGCCAAGCAATCTCTTGCCAAGCCTTAGATCAGATAATAAATGGGACGTTGCATTGTTGCAAGGCAACATGAGCACTGCAAACATGTACTATTGCATCCTGGCCACATGAAACTTAGGTTTCAAAGGCCACAGCGGCCGGTGCATCGAAGCAGCTTTCTCGGACAGCAACATGTAAGCCATCATAGACCTGTCCTCACAATGCATTGGCACGGACCCGTGCGCACGAACAAGAGAAATTCAAGTCTAAGAACTCGAATAATGCATCCAAGCATCGCAGCAGTCCTGCATTCCATATGCATGGGCATCGTCCAGGTACCGCTGGGAGTCTTCGCACATGTTGAACCACAAGGCGAGGAAGTGCCTGCGGAGTTTTCCAGTATAATGCTTACAATAATTAGCAGGCTACTGCATTTTCTTAGTAGTTGGGCTCGTCAATTACAGGTGTATCGGGGTGGCTTATATAGCAAACACGAGATAATCATCGCAATCATCCGTTGGCAGTCCTATATCTTTAGGCTCGAATTGCATAAAAGACACGTGCATTCAGCCATAAGCTTGAGATCTTCAGGAGCACCACATGTTTGGTCATTGTAGAAGTGTAGAAGGAAACTCGCCAACCAAGCCACCACAACACGAGCCTCGTTATTGTTTTCTGAGGAAACAGCTTATTAAGGCAACACCCGCGCTATGATGAAGGAATTACCCGATCATAAAACTGATTCTATAGCAACTCCGTAGCATTGTATGCTTTCGCTCGCAGCTCAGGGTACGGCCCGTCGGGCGATTTCAGCGAAGCAGTCGTAAAGCGAGGCTGTGTATTCCTTGGATGGAGCCGGTTGAAATGGTCGGATGCTGACTGCATGACATACCATATTGCCTACACTAACAGTGCAACACTTACTATTGCTAGATTCGCAAGCGGCGGGATCCGCCGGTCGGAACACCACATTTTAAAGTGTTCGTGAGCAGTTTGGAGTCGCTCACCGTCGCTGCCATCTCCCCAAACCTGAAACTCCATCAACAGCAGCTTGAAGCAGCTGCCCACCACCCACAATGCCACTCCCAAGTTTATCACGTGCATGCTGCACCACCGGAAGGTGGCGGGGCAGACATTGTGCAAATCGAATATGGGGCCTGGAGCTTGATACGGGGTTGTTCTGATCGTGGCTTTTGGGTTCTTGCTTCACTGAATACATCATGATCAGGGTATACTAAGGAATTGTTGAAGATCTTCAAAGTTTCCAACTTGCAGCCTGGATGCTTCGAATGCCAGGGTGCAGGCAGTTTCGGAGGATGTCTTCAAGACTTCGTCGTGGTAATTCTTTCAGAATGCTAGGCACAGTAGCATATGCAGTCATTGTCATCTTGCAGTGGTGGCAGAGCTCCTTTGAGCTCCATCCAGTTCGGAGCCCCAGCCATTCCTGCATGCTATAGAACCAACAAATTTAAACATGTACAGTAATTTCGACATATACCGATATGAACTATAATGTAGCGATCAGTCCTTCTGCCACTTCCAATCGCCCCTGACTTCGGTGCACATCCCGTAGACCAGAACCTCACCCGAGCGGCATATAGGAACACCTTGCAGCAGCAGGTTGAAGCTTGCAATCACCTCGGCTGAATTGCACGAGACGAACACAGATTGTGGAATCATATACAACAAAAACAAATTGTATAGCTTCGAAGACATTATTGGCTGCAATGCAATGGCACTGGCCGCATGTAGGCGGCAAGTGTAGCCATTCCCAGGCTGAGCTCCTGAGTTCTCCAACTTCGAGTTCGACAAGGCCCATCGCGCTTTAATGAAGGCTGCATGCAAAACCAAATACATAAGCATACATACTAATCCAGCGACGAGGATCGACCCCACAAACCCAAAGAGGGAAGCAGCTTGTGTAGGAGTCCCGGCTTTTGTCCAAGCAATGGCCCATCATACAAACCATCACCTTTTGGTTAAACTTCTTTCCATATCTGCAGTCATCGCCCCAAAGCCAGAGCGGGTGGTGGCCAGTCGAAGGGGCTTCTAGTCCAGACTTCCACTGTTTGTGGTGGTGCCAGTAATGACGAACATCACTTACCGCTACATCCGGCCATCTCCCAGTTCGAATAAGCCAGGGAACCAATTTGTGTGGTAGGACGACGGGCATTGGCCTGTACATGTTGAGCTCTAGCTAGATCTTCGAAGCAGTACGATACGATACTAGCATAAGCATAATAGCCCAATGGACGGACTATGTGCTGCAAAGCGGCTTCGTCACCATCTTCAGCTTGCCCTTCTCAGGTTTGATGGGCACGTCCACCATGTCGATTGGAACCTGAGGCCGAGCTGGAAAGGGTGTGGGCATTGAAATCGGGTCACAGCTAGCATTGTATGTATAAATTGGGGTTTGGGTCTCGAACCATGAAAAGTTGAATAGCAAGTAGCATCATCCCCCGTCGAGCTGGTCCGTAACATATCCCTTTGTATGTTGCTGCCCCACTTCCCATGAGCTCCTGCTGCCTCCAGCTTGGCACAACGGCCGGCCATCTTGACCCCGTAAGTTTTCATCTCCTGACGAGCATCGTGAACACTATAAATAATCTAAGCTCTGCGGGATTGGTTCAAAGTAATGTGCTGTCCTCTTTCATCGCTTGCAGCGACTCGCGGGCACTCGTGAAGGATGCCTGATCATGCAATCATGAGGGGTGCAATGTACAAGTGGCCGGTATCACATATTATGTGCAAGCAGGCGGCACCACGGCCAACTGCCCGCATCAAGTGGTTGAACATGGGCGATGTCCTCGCTCTCGCGAGATCACCTGCGAGGGAATGGGGATTTCGAATAAAGCTCGACTGTATCATGGTGCATGTGCAATCACTCCGTATGTTTTGCCGGCGGCACAGCAGTACGTAGCACGGTGCTTCGTGGCCGTCCGGATCCCCTTTGCAAAATCAGGCTTTCACCAGGTCTAGATCTAGAGAATCTCAGGCTTCCATCGGGATCAGGCTTGACACAAAATCCAAGCAATGCCTACAGCTGCAGGTTCCAACAGCAATGCATGCTCGAATCCGGATAACACAGGAATGATCATGATTGGCAAGCTGAAACTAGAGGCTACTGGCGAAACAATAATCAGTATGCGCCTATGCCTGTGGGTTGTATGTCGCAGTGCACATCTTATAATTATACGGCTAGGATACAGCGATATGGTGTACATCGATCATGCATGCTGTCCCACAACTACATTGCTTCGGCCCAGCAAGCTATGCGACCCCATGTGCCGCTGCAGATAACTGCAGCTCACGATCGCCCCTTCAGGCATCTCATCTCATGGTCCTCGTGATCATCGCCTTCCCTTGGCCTTGGCCTTGACTTTGGGCTTTGGCGGTTCCTGGGATGGTGTTTAGAGTGCTTGATTACATAGTGCACGACTGTCGTTATATATGGAATGTCTCATTACTCGCCCTCGAGGCCTAGGGCGTTCTGAGTCCGAGCTGGCCATTATTGGTTTAACTAGTGTACCAGGGTTTTGCTGGGCCTAGCATAATGTTCAGGGTTCGGGTTGACATGGTATGTTTTGGGTTTTGCTTTGGATTAAACTTGAAGTCCAGGATTCCAATGATAGCTTCATGGGGCGCAATGAGCCCGTCAGGTCGTTTGCCAACTTATCAGCAGACTGCAGCAACTCCTCTATGTTCGATTGCACCTCAGTCGACAGGTCCTTGTCTGCCACGGTGTGGCAGCTGCTGTAGAGGGCCTCCATCTTCATTTTCACTGTCTCGAAGTCCGCTTTCGTGGCGGACAACTGATCGTTGAAGCCCTCCTTTGTCTTGTCCGACCTGGGCTATATCGTATATATTATGTACAATATAGTCCTTGTAATTAGCGAGTATAATCATATGTAGCTGTAATTATAAGTAATAATAATAATTATTTGAAATAAGTTACTTAAGAAATTATGGTTCTATGTTTATTTCACATCCACCGGATTGAAAGCGTAGAGTTTAAACAATCTAAGTGGCAGGGTTTCGATAGAGCACTCGCTAATCTTCCGTGTCCACACGAAGATTTCGGTGAGCTTCGAAGCAGTAGCCTGAATCTTGCTGTTGAGCTTTTTGGTGAGGGCATAAGCATTCACCTTCTTCGTGCCTGGCAGCTTCGCACCATTGTCGTTGCCCGGCAAGGACTCCCGCGAGTTGGAGTTTTGGATCATCAGAGCTGGATTGCCGAGGCCGAAGTCCTGCCGCTTTGCTCCAGGGTGGTTCGCCATGTCCATCATCGTGGGCCTCATGACAGTCTAGATCATGACGGGACATAGTTAACATCAATGCATCCAACGAAACACGGAGGTATAATCTAAACCTACCACAGTGGGGATGAGTTCAGGTAAGGTTCGCAAGCTGGGAGCAGGCTTCACTGCCCACATTGACTCGTGAGGTGTAGCCTGTGGAGCTGGAGCTGACGTCTTTCAATTCAAACTCGAGAGAATCAAAACACCTGAACATTTCCCAGTCCTGAGTTGATGAGGGTTCCATGAAGGTTAAATTCATGTGATAAGTACGGGATTGTGTTGTATGCCCAATACTATATACGTCTAAAGTTAATTTAATCAGGCTATAGCGAAAAGAATGAAGTGCAATCAAATGGCGGGGTCGTCGCCTGCATCCGGATGCTTGAACCAGTGCGGGCGGGGTTCCCGGTTGCCGTCTCGCGACTGCTCGAGCTGTTTTTTGTTGTCGCGGATACGCTCGGCGTTCCGCTTGCCGAATTTCTCCTTCAAAGCCTTGAAGCTGACCATCTTTTGCTTGCCCTTAGATTTCTCACTTGTTTTTCTCTCGACCTCTTGATAGAGAGTGGTTCGCAGCCAATCCCCACCGTTCTGGTGCCAGTCGTGGAACAGAGATTGCATCAGCTTGAGGCGATCTGATCATGACAGAGCATGCTCAAACCGGACAGCACATGCAGAGACAGGAAGCTGCTTGTACAATTGCAGACGTGACACTTGGCTGGCCCTGGAAGGACTGGATCTTCTCGAGGAGCAGGGGCGGACAGTCCCCACCTGAGAATCGGCAGATATCCATATATTATGGGTTGGGTGTTTCAAAGCTCAGTGCATTCGTTGAGCATGAGAAGCAGCCACAGAACCGATGTGAAGCATGAGACACGTTTGCCGTCGACAGAATAATTATGTCAAGATGCTTTTGATTCTGCGATCGAATGTCACCCGGGCATTGTGCTGCAGTCTCTTGGCCTCCTTTGCAGCGGCCTCCGCATCGAGGCCGACTTCGAGGGATTGCTCAGGCTCGGTCGCCGGCTCGAGCTCCACTGCCTTTGCCTGCAACGGTTGATTCGTCATTGCAACGGTTGATTCTGCATGTACATAAGTACTGATAATTAGCTAGGGGCTGGAGCAAATAGTTCGATTGACAATAGGAACCTCGCCTGGGATTCGACCCCCTCCACACTGGAGGTGTCTGGCAATGCCGGCGCCACGTGGCTGGGTGCCTCAGTGCTTTGTTGAATATATATCTCTCTGTATATATATATATATATATACATGTTATACACATGTATACATATATATATATATATATATATATATATATATATGTGTATGTATATATACACGGTGACCATATAATAATAATGATATACTAATTATAATATATATATATATATATACATAGACACATACACATGCTATGTACCTATATCCTGTATATACACCTGTATAAATATAGCCTATTAATTATATATTGTCCCTATATATATATATATATATATATATTATGCATATATATATATACACACCGTACACCTATTGTCGAATTGTCAATAAATAGTGTCGGGTTAAGGGTCGCATGTATCTGTATGCATATATATGAGGAACATAATTTCAACAACTAGTATATGTATATATATATATATATACATGTATATATTATACGAACATAAATATAATTTGTATACGAGTTCAAGCTTGCTAAAGCTATAGCTAGCATAGAGGGCAGCCCGAGACACGGATGTGCATGTCTAGGTCTCCTATTAATTAGATGTAAGCCTCATGCAGGATACAGTGCTATTGGAAATAAGCTCGAATCCTGTTAACCCTGCCAAACACTGTAGATCTACATACACCATTAAATATTGATCCTGCAAATCATACACCCATGCACCCAAGTCACACAGGGCTCGTCCTTCACAGCCAGCAAAGGCTCCGGAGGTGGGCTCGCACGTCCGGCTGCTTCGTCGGCGCCCTGGGCATCTAGCATCATTGCCTGCAGTTGGGCTTCGAGGTCCATGGTAACAGACTCATCGACAGCTGGCTGTTGCAAGCGATCCTCACACTCCAGCTGCACAGCATCCATAATGCTTTCCAGGGCCGTTGCAAAGTAGGACTCCTGCAGCATCGCTTGCGCCTCTGCCGAGGCGACCGTGTCCTGCTTCTGCCGAAGCTTCTCCTCCACCCAGCGGTTGATCTGGTCGAGCTGGGGCCCGAGGAGTTTGACATCATTGGCAGACTTAGCGACATCGGCCCGCTTCTTGTCACCCAACCCAACGATGACATCAGTGTACTTCTCGAATTCCTTCACGGTCTTCTGGACGATGGCCTGCTGAGCCTTCATGTCATTCGCATACTCATACAGCACCTTAGCCATGTAGCCATGCTCCTTATCCATATCGAAGTTCCCTGTCTGGCCGATCGCCCGTGTCCATCGTACGATCTCTGCAGCTCGGGAAACCTCGCTCATGTTGCGAACACCCTCCGAACCATCGCGGAATATGTAATCCATAAGGGTCTGTGTCGGAGGTTCATCAGCCGGCTCGGGCAAGCCTTGCTGCAACATTTCAGCACAGATGCTGTCTGCCTTGTTCGGCGAGGTCTTGTCGCCCAAGCCCACCGTGGTCTGCGAGTCCAGGTGCCGTGGTCCTGGGATGGGTGTGCTATCAATGTATAATAATTCTAAGTAGCTATAGTAGGACTAATTATAGTGTATATATATATATATGTGCAGGTGTGTATATATATATATATATATATATATACGTACATACTAAATGTGATGTGTATGCATAGTCATACAGACATGCAATATCTACATATACATGCATATATATATATATATACACATACATATATATATATATATGTATATACATACACATACATTTATAATATATATATATATATATATGTTGTATATCTACACATACATATGTATATATATATATATATATATATATATATATATATATATCTAGCTTCGTGCTCTACACATATATATATATATATATATGTAGAGATTGACACATACATGCGAACTAAAAAGTACATAAGGGTGTCTGCTATACGGCTAGACAACCAGACATGGCCCCTGGGCCTATGCAGCTCTACACTGCTACGAGACGTGAATTCAATTATTAAGGCTGATCGGACACAGTGGAGGTAATACTGCAGTATACACATCTGTATGTGTGTGTATATATATATATATATATATATACATACACATATTATATATATATATATATATATATATATATATTCGCCAACAGTAGACTAGTCAATGATCGATTGCAATCCAGGCACGGTTGAACTTGGCATTGCTCATGGTCGTAGCTGACACTGTAGCCTGGGACTTCTCAGACTTGGGATCCTGCGACTTCTCCGGATTGTGGGCCACGGGATCCTGCTGCGACTTCTCGGGATTGTGGGAGACGGGATCCTGCTGCGACTTCCCGGGATTGTGGGCCATGGGATCCTGCGACTTCTCGGGATTGTGGGCCACGGGATCCTGCTGCGACTTCTCGGGATTGTGGACCATGGGATACTGCTGCTGCTTCTCGGGATTGTGGGCCATGGGATACTGCTGCGACTTCTCGGGCTTGTGGGACATGGGTTCGGACTTCTTGGGATTGTCGGCCTGGGCTTTCTTGATGGACTTCGCGGACTTAGGGGGCTCGAGCATGGGAGACGGCGACTTCGCCGGATGTCCTGCCGCTTGTTGGGATTCTGTGCCTTCAGGTTGGGATGCTCGGACTTCTGGGGATAGTGTAGCGGGTGCACCCTTAGCAGCATCACCTGCAGTTGCGACCTTGCTGCCGAGCGGGAGTGGGGGCAACGGCCAAGACACATCCATATCATCTCCATTCGGAATCACACCCAGCTGAGAGTCGCCCTCGTTCGCCTCCACATCACGTAGTGTCTCCTGCCCAATGCAACATATCAGTCGTGAGCATGGTTGCTAGCTATGCAAATATGACTGCCATATGTAGATGCATGTACAAGGTCCTCTAGCACGGGGGAGTTCACACGAGGCTTCTTCATGTAGGGCGAACGGATAGGAGTCTCCCCAGATGCAGCTGCCGCTTTTGCGAAATCCTTGTCCAGGCGTCTCGCAACCGATGCTGTTGCTGCTTCCTTCCGCTGCTTCGGCGGCTTGGGCTTCTCGGTAGGCTCGCAACTGGAACCTTAGCATCGTGCTCGTGTGGAGCGATGATCCTTAAATGAAGCGGTCCACTAAAGTGCTTCCCAGATGCTCCGCGAAAGCTTGGAATTGCATCGCTGCAGGGCATTGTTCATCTCCTTCTCCATGTCGAAGTCATCCTGGGCAGCAGCAGGCAAGCCAACAGTTGGATTTGGATTGGAAATTATGGGTTTGATTATGGGGGAGCTAATTATAACTAATAATAGAGACAAATTTGGTTCCTGCAACCTAGCTTCATCCTGCTTCTTCTTGCCAGCATGCTTGCCCTTGGGAGGCATGACTCTTGGCCACTCGAATTGAAACCTGTAAAGGAGTGCACGGAGAATCTGTCAGGCCAGCGACGGAGCTAATTATGACTCTATTATTGATCAAGTCTACGTAAGGCAACGCTAGAAGACAGCGTAGAACCCAGCTGATAAATTTCACAGGTTTTCACTTATATTTCACGCCCAGCCTTTAGCAGCAGAGGGTTTTCACACAATTTCACGTATTTTTCACATCCGTGACCCTAGGGGGGACATCGCTCTACGTCGCTTCGGGCCCAAATCCTGAGTGATTTTCACACGGATTTCGTGCAGCGGCAGTGAATTTCACAGAAATTCACCTGATTTTCACATCCCTGGGCTTTTTAGGACGTCGCTCTACCAAGGAATGTGCTAGTGTAGAGCTAGGGGCTTCGGACAGACAGCAATGTCATGGGGACGCACAAAAACACTGGCTTCGGATTGGGTTTTCCTCCAACATAACCTGGTTGACTCCGGGTCCGTAGCAGCTGTTGCCAGTGGTGCACGAGGCTATCATGTACAGTACGATAAATATGTATGGTTAACCCTACACAAGGACCTGGGGACCCTTATTACAACATTATTCCCGCGAGGTTCGATGGAGCAGAAGCACCTACAACAGCTGCAGAGAGGCCTGTCTAATAATCTAATGCTGCAGAATCCCAGGCTTTCCAGGAGTTGCTGCAGGGAGGAGCTTGTTCAGTGTATGATGTGCATATTTTTGTGTGTACGTGTGTATATTTTAATTGTATCTATACATGTACATAGATGTAGCACATATAGATATAAAGATCACCATATGTTTTTGTTTCATGTATGCATATGTATACATGTGTATATATATATATATATATATGTGTGTGTGTGTGTGTTTATGTGGGTCCAAACATGTATATCGACCTAATAATTAATATTATTTATACACACATGAGCACATGTATGTATATATATATATATACACTCTTGCATAGCCACACACAAACATGCACCAACCATGATCATGTATACATGCACATATATACAACTTAACTAGTCTAAATACATACCTATATATATATATATACATTGGTATTATCATTTATAATTATATATATAGAAAGAGAGATGTATGGTTGTGCTTATATAATTAATACACATGTATTTATCTATATACATATATATATATGTATATGTGAACCTGTGTACTTGTGTATGTAGTAATAATATTTGTCGTCTTATGATATATATCATGAATACATATATATGTATATATGTATATATATAATAAAAATGTGTGTGTGTGTCTTTTAATTATATTACATACATCTCTCTAGATCTCTCTATAACTATAATTACATATACATGTGTTTGTGTGTTGTGTGTGCTCTTGTCATTGCATGGGGCAAAGGATGTTTAAGTATACCCAGTACACAGACTGAACTGAAATAATACATGGGCCTTGTAGTGCAACGTGCATGATGTTAACTTTTTAACCATTTATCCATATACATATATATATATATATATATATATAATATACACAATGGAAAACATATATTATATGCTTAATATATAAATGTGTGTGTCTGTCTGAATTATATTAGCAAATCACAATTAATCATATGCAGGTTCCAATACTCCACCTGATAATCTTTAAGTTCGATACCCGTACATACAAAGCTACAGCTATCCATATGTTGATGCGGTACCTAGACAGCAAATGCTCCACCTGCACTGCTTTAATTTGATGCAGTGAAAAGGCCCGCCAGCCAACGACACATAGGCAAGCTAGCTGCCTGTAAGCCCGGTTCTACCCTAAACCCTAATAGGTTTGTAGGTATATATTAATTGCATATACCCGCTACAAATGCGACACCAGTGTGTGGGCTTCTACAGCAGCATGGGGCACTTGCCCTTGCCGCCTGTCCTGACCAAGCCGTAATGGTCGCAAAACTTGTTAAAGGCTTCCTCAGACGGAATCACATCTATCTCAAGAGATGAAGATGGAACATATTCGCCTTTGAAGACGGCATCCTGCAAGATCCGTTTGAGCTCCTCCAGGTTTCCCTCGCACCAGGTCTGCTGGAGGTCCTGGCCGATATTGTTGAAGCGAGCTAAAATTAGAACGACAGTACTGACCCTGTAGCACGTGCACGTGAACCTACGATCAATTTGCAAACCTATACTGCAGGCTCCGGCTCTCAACATACAGCAGAACCTAGTGCTTCCACTTAAACATGTTGCACCCGATCATTCAATGCTGCAACATGTACTGGACTGTTTCGAGCCTGGTATCCACATTCCAAAATCCTCGCCAGGTTGGTCATCTCCGGATCCGTGGCCTGGATCACAGAGTGTGTCTCATCATCGTCGGTTGAGGCATACTACAAGCTCGGGTTGTGGGGTGATCAGTGATTGAAGTGTGAACCTGCAATGTGCCTCCTGCTGCAACTGGCCTCATGACCCAGATGTTACTAGATACAGATCATGTCCCCGAAGCAGCTACAGAATCACATCACACTTTAAAATGCCGGTCATGCATGTCTGCAGCTAGCGAGATACCTAGGCCTGCATCACTGCTTTGTACACATACTGGGAGCCCCCACCAGCCATTCCTCGTGTTCATGTGCCACATTCTTGCCGAAGTAGCGCTTGTAGCCGGTGCACCACTTGTGCCGAAGTTGCCTGAATATGTACTGTCTTTGCATGCAATGCAGACACGAAGCATGAGACTCGAACGACACGAGCTGGAAGCAGCATCGGAACAGCCTGCCATGAACTCTGTGGGCCCTGAAACATAATCCGAAACCCAAAAACAACCTCCAACATCCAGACAAGGGCTTTAGACCTCAGGTCCCGGCACTCGCTTCGGCAGCTGGCCCTCTCCAGGCTCGAATGCCCGTGCAAAGCATGCAGCCTTGTCTTTGTGAATGGTCTTGCGAACCTCCAGCTTCTGGATCCAAGGCCTTGGATGGCTGTCGTATAGTACAGTGCACACTGCACGTGGACTTAATATATACATACATATATGATGTGTTGAGCATAACACATAACAACTTGTACATGTATATACATATACATATATGTATATGAATACGTATATGTATATGTATATGTATATGTATATGTACGGGATATGATTGAAGAACTTCATCTATATATATATATATATATATATATATATATAGATATATATATATATATATGTCACATGTATGTATATATATATATATATATATATATATATATATATACATGAGTATACTGCCATGTTCCCTAAAGAACCGAATAACACATGATGTAAGAGCTCAGATAGAGAGAGACAGAGAGAGAGAGAGAGAGAGAGAGAGAGAGAGAGAGAGAGAGAGAGAGAGAGAGAGAGAGAGAGAGAGAGAGAGAGAGAGAGAGAGAGAGAGAGAGAGAGAGAGAGAGAGAGAGAGAGAGAGAGAGAGAGAGCGCGCTAGAAAGAGAGACCCTCACTCCGAAAGCCTACACCCCGAGTCCAAGTAAAAGAAGCTCTACGACACAGGCCCAACACCCAGAATCCAGGGACCCGCAACGATAAGTACGAGCCCATTATAAACAGGATGGACTCAATGGGCTTTGGACCGACAAGGAGAGGTCATCCACGAGGCCCGGGTTCAGGGATGCATAGTCCTATATTGCATTATGATCCCAGCCGCCTTAGTCACAACTAATATACAGGTTCAACCAAGATACACGTTGCCCAAGCCGGTGCAGGCTCCTGCCCACCTGGGCCAGAATATGATTCATGGGTCTATACTGCTACTGCTACAATATAATTGCTACATGCCACTGCAACCAGAACACCAAAACACGTCGAAGTGTTTCCGCAGAACGTACTGGTAGATAGGCGGAGGCAATACACTGCAGGAACCGGGGACAGGCTGCTGGTAGGAATGCCCGAAGCTTGCCGATCTGACCATGGCCAATATATACAGCACACTTAGCCTGACCAAACCAGCCTTGTCCGAAGATGCAGGATAACCGCCGCAAACCAAGCCACCAGGCCTCACTCGGAGGATGTAAAGGACAGCCCGGAAAAAACCCGTAGTGCAGGATAAGTTCTCGAGCTCCGCATCCTTGTTCTTGTCGTACTGCTGCCTGGGCAGAACATAATGGACATGTCTCATATAGCATTGTGTCATTTAAGACGAGTATATATATATATACACATAGCATCAGACATAAGTAAAGAGGTACATGTTCGATTTAACAATTGTATTTATGAATATCCTCGCTTGTATATATCCAACCACATTTATTAATTAGATACAGTCCGATGTGTACACATACACATGTACATAAGCCACGTACATATATTTAATGTGGGCTTATATGTATATAGACATATACACATAAATTATTTGTAGCAATGACGATGGTTGTCATACATATATATATATATATATTGTACGGAACCATATACACCGCAACATTAGAGAGCAGTACCAATATACAATTATTATTACACATGTGAGTCAGGGCTCGAATTGAGCTTCTTGTCCCTGAATGACTTGGCCACGGCACAGCCAAAGCCACTGAAGATCTCCAGACATTCCAGGTCCTGATCAAAAGCAAGATTTGGAGCCCATGCAATGCCCTAGACTATCTAAGTCTCGAAGCTGCTGCAGCCTAGTATCCCGGAGACGATGCCCATGTGTGCGATCACAGTACTGGGCGACGTAGTCCATGACATGTACCCTGAGTTCTGAAGACTGTACAAGTACATCGAAGCTGATTCATGCATGATGTCCGCCAGAACTGCATTCGGTCTAGCGAGAGCAAGCGAGTGACAGGACTGGAGGGAGGCCAAAGCACAAGAGAACAGCAGCTTCTTGTCGTGACAAGGCGAGGCCATGGTTCATTCGCAGCTCGGACAGGCGCATATTTGCAAACACAGCTTGCAAGGGAAGCCTCGACCTACATGAGCATTGCAGTGGGCTGCATGTATTACAAGAGATAGATTCCGGCAAGCCTGGAGATGGGCAGGGTTTAGGGTTTGTAGTTTTGAAGGGATCGAAAGGTGTAGGATATCGGGGGCTGAAGGCACTACTTATTATTAGCTTCGGGTCGTAGCTCGTTCATGCTACTGATGTGTCTGCCGCCTGGAGCTCTAGCATAGCCACGAGCTAGAGAAGCAATGCAACCACAGCACATGCATGGGCCCTCATGATTGCAGAAAGTGTCAGCACTCATGATCATGGCTCGCGACTGATCAAGATCTAGCTAGATTGCACTTGAAGCAGGCAAAGGCTGGATGCTGGAAGCACCTCGCGAAGATCGCCGATCATGAGCTGCACTCGATGCCGAAGGTGCCGACGTCGTTGAAGTCACGGGGCCTGCGAGGTTACAAGGGCAGTATATATGGCCTGTGAATTATTATAGTCATGCAGGCGGCTTCAGAAATGCTTGCAAGCAGACTGCACACAGACCGAATGTTTCATCACTGCTGGAATCGTCTCAGCTAGCTGTGCATCCATCTCGTGAATGCTAGAAATCAAGGCTAAAGCGGCATCCAAAATGCGGGGATCCAGCACGATCGAGCTCAAAGCATAAGGTTCAGGATGGGGCTATCGGGCCCGGGCTAGGCTCACCGAGGATGCCTGTTATGTAGCATATATACACTGTCTAGCTGGAAGCCGCCGATGCACTTTCTAGACCTGGTCAGGCCATCATGATGAGTCATCACGATCCACCTTTGTCCTGCTTGCCAGCGACGGCCGGAACCTCAATTGCACTCGCTATAGAAGTCGATCTTTAAAAAAATGGGTGTGCATGTCTGCCATATATACATACATATATATATATATAATATATATATATATATATATATATATATATATACATGTATTCTTGCAAGCCTTGCGGCTTGGCCATGGGATCCTGGCAGGGCCGTCCATCCAGCCATGAGCTTGGCATGCTCCCACCTTAGATAGCATGTACATATCCAGCAGGTGTGTGATCTATGTATATATATATATATATATATATATATATTGCCTGTAATCATGATCATAGCTACTGCAAGGCCTCAGGGATCATGCCAGTCGAGGGTCTACATATTGACCTATTTATATATGGCACATCTATAGCGAATCTAAACTATGTATACAATATATATATATATATATATATATATATTATTATTATTATTATTATTATTATTATTAGTATTATTAAGAAAATATATATATGTGTATATATATATATATATATATTACACACACATCTACACGTATGCATATATATATATATATATATATATATATACATATATACTTATACTTATATATATATATATATATATATTATTATTATATATAACTGTATAATATATATATATATATATATAGAGATGTATCTGTAATCACATCTAGAATGAAACATCGCATATCCGAGTCGACCTGTACATGTCGTGTGTCTTGCATGGCTCTCGGCGCTTGTGGGCATCATAACCGGAAGGGGCTTACAAGTTTATACGGTGATCAACTACAAGCAATGATTACAGGCATAATTGTATTCGGTACAGGATTTGCTTTATGATGGTGGGTTTACACATTTATGTGGGTTTATAGACGACTGTTCCATGTAATAACGACTATACATGTTTGATTGCCAAGACACCCAGCCTTCACACCGAAAAGGTGCCATGGCACCGTTGCACCACCCTTTCGATCCTTGGAAATCTGCCCGGACGCCACCGGCTGCACGAGTCGCTTGACGTAGAAAGCCTGTCCCAACAATATGCACCCAATCGGAGAGGCCGTGCTTCGCACGGCAGGGCTGGGTGCATAAGCCGTGAAGCTCCTCGGATCATGACTCTATGGCCGTAGCTTCGAGCAGCAGTATAAGTGCAGACACTGATCGCATGCACACCATGTCAAGGCGAGCGGCTGGCCACTCAGCTCGAAGGGAACCTCGAGCCCATTGAGATTCGCCTGGCGAATCACCTCAAGGCCCTGCTGCACCTTCTTCTTCTTTCTCGGGGTCATAAGCTTCTTGGTGAGGGTCGACAGGGGGTCCTTGCTGCCACTGGCCTTCGGGTTCTTCAAAAGCTTGCTGGCACGGGTCTTGCGAACGGCCGGGGGCTTCTCACGATCATCCGGCTCCTCCTTGCCAGGCCCCTTTGCCTCGCCATCGCCCTCGAGCTCAGCAGCCCGCTTGCCACGGCCTCGGCCACCTCGCCCCCTTCCACCCCCTCGCTTCCGCTTCATGATGCGGCCATTCTCTGCCTCTGCAGCAGCCTGAGCTGATGATTCGAAGCAGCCGATGTTATGCTCTACTCAATAATCGAGTGCACATGGTGATAAGCCTTGCCATGGGACCTCTCGGATTGTAGTTCGCACATGATCTTGCATCCCAGTGATGTGGTCAAATCGGGCATATCGGGTTTGGTTCGTGTTGAACTCCCAAGGTGTGCCGTCCCGGTACAATGGCAGAACCAAAGGCTCACGATCCTGATCATCAATGTAGCTGCCGAGCGATGATTGAACTAAAAACTCGCAACCCCCCCAACTGCAATCGAAACGACATGCCTCCCAAGCCTAGTTTCTTTGGCAGCATTTGATGAAATTCGCACAGGAGCATCGGGAGCACCACCGTCTCCGGATCCACTTCCAGGCGCATGGGCCTCATCCGCAGGAGCAGCTGCCTTGGAAGAGTGTGCTTGGAGAGCTAGTGCAGGTGATCCCGAATTTCGAAATGCATATGGGTATATTGCATACGGGATACCGGCTTCGGGCTATACCCCAAAACCGCGGCCCCTCGAATCGTTCGCTTCGTCGGCGACAGCAGCTGAGCCAGCCTGTCCGCATTCTGCAGGTCGGCATCCGGCTCCACGGGCTCTTCGATGTCTCCCTGATCCTGCAATGGAGGGGGTTGCAATGCACAGTCAAACTATAGGTGCAGTGGGGATCACGACCAGGAAGAATAAACTACAGCATGTACTACCGTGTATCTTTAGCTTGGGCTGGCAAGCATATGTTTCACTCGACCGATGATTGCATGCAGCGACATGTCAAATCTGCACATCCGGACTGCAACCTTAAACCCTAAACCCTAAACCCAATTGAAGCCTCGATCTTAAGTGGTCGAGCCTCGAGCTCCAGGCCCCAGTCATCATCATCGTCCTGGCCCAGCTTCGTGCGGTAGATCTTCTTCAGAACCTCCACTTTCTTGCTCCTGATGTATTCGAGATATGCAAATTAAGCCATCGTGATCAGCACATCTTCACGTGATAGCAGCACCGATCTAGAATACATGCCCTGCCACTGTCCTTGCACCCCCGGTTTTCTTCGCGATCTTCGCGACGTGCATGAGCATAGACCTGAAGCGAGCCGCCTCCACTCGGCCCCACTCCTTGGCATTGCAATGCTTAATCGGAAATGCCCCATATGTTAAGAAGAATTGAGCTCGACTCGTGCAATTAATGGTATACCGGTATATGTGCTGTCTAGGTTCTCTGCATTGGCCTCGTCCTCCACGGACGTGGTAGAGGGTTTCTCCATGGAGATTCAACGTGATCGAAAGTAAAATGAACGCAGCTTCGAATGTCGCGAGATTGGGAGTCCGGGGAGCCATTTCAACTAAATATTCTTTCAAGAGGAGGTAGTTGGCCTCCAGGTCGGAGTTGTAGACCTCATCAAGCAGCCGATCGAACCCGTATAAGCGCCTATCCTGCCCCCTCGGCATGCTGCAGATATCACGTGAATCATTAATTGGGCCCTGCTGCTGCTGCCGTCTCTCGGGCATCCCATTCGATAAAGGCCCTTTCCTTGAATCCACATCGAATGGCCATGCACTCCCACTGGTGACACTCTACTCTTGCATGCCGATGCTCGAAATCCCGATTTGCAATCCCAACTTGCTCGCCAAGATTCAAGGGGGGTCGGCACCGACATGATCGCAGCGAGGTCCTGCTCCAGGAGGGGCTTCAGCAAATCGTGGATCTCGTCGGCATCGGCCTGATTTGCACGTCGATGGCTTGGGGCATACGATGCTATGTAAACTACATCGCCAATGCAGTCACAGAACATTGATATGCAACACCAAGGGCTTCTCGAGCTTGCGAGAACCGGTCTTGCCGGAGTCCTTCTCCGGACGGTCGCCCATGGCTTCGAAATCTATAAGCCCCGACTGCAAAACCCAGCTATGGCAACACCCGTGGCTTCCGAACCCCGGGCTTCCACATGAAAAAACTGCACCTGGATCCAAACAATAATCGGTGAGATACGTTTGAAAGCCAATCACATGCTCGGTCAGATGCTGGACACTGCACTTGCAAGCGAACCCATGCAATGCAATGGGAGGGCACACCTCCATCGGCACGAGACCGCCGGCCCAAAAAGGAAGCTTGCCGGAGCAAGCCCATGCAGTATGCTATGCAAGCATGCGCAATGCTCACGATATGCTATGCAAGCAATGCTCACGATCATACTCAATGCACTGTGCTATGCAAGCAATATTGCTCATGATCATGCATTTGGATCGCTGCTGCAGGTGCTGCTGCTGCTGCTGCTGGATTAAAGTGCATGTGTACATGTCTGAACCACGACACTCGAAGCGGCTGGAATCCCTGCTTTTTAACATTTAGGGTCTTTAGACAAGAACCCTGAAATACAACATAAATCCCGGGAACCCCTTGTCACGAACCATTTCCCCGAGTATATGATTATCCAGTACTCAGACCCATGGGGCTAAAACCAAACCTTGAGTCTCATCAAGGAAATACAAGGCCAACCACAAGACCTGCCTTAAATTTATATAGGGGCGCCACTGCAAACTGCCAAAAGAGGCAAGCTTTGAACATGATTAGGCCCTGCTTGGGGACATCACGAGTTTCGCATTAGATTCCCTACGCTGCAGCATTTTGGCATCGGAGTTTGAGGTTAGGGACGCTGTGGAGTATTTGCCGGTATCAGCCCAAAGCCTTTGCAGGAGTTCGGTGGGAAGGTGTGTAGAAAGCTCGATGCTGGAACCTAAATCATGTAGACTTTATTTTGAAGGGGCCTACGCCGAATGTAAAAACCATGGTTATTGTCTTGATAGAATGCAGAGGACAAGAGTCGGGCTTGCCACCAACTACGTTCAACATATCTCGAGTTCAAAGTTTACCCTGCAAGTACCCAATAATTCGGTGCATGGGTTTAGGATGTGTAATATACGCTTTTCATGGGTTCCAAGATTGGGGAGCATATCGCTTTGCTGCCACAACCCCGAAACCCTGGAGTCGACGGGAGAGCCGTAGAGGCTCGAGAGAATACCTCCTCGCGGAAGAGGGCTCTTTGAGATCTTTTTTGCGTAATTGCCGACATGTTTTATTCAGGATTCCTTGCGAAATTTATAGTGTTGTTTAGGGGTTGAGGGTTTAGGGGTTTAGGGTTTGGGGTTTATAATTACTATAATGTCCCGGAGGGCCCGTTGAGTACACCTTCGGGGAAAGCTCACGGTATCCTCAGGCCAGGAGCCTTCCACGCTTGTTTTGCAAGCTGACTTGCCGTGCGGATCCATGCAATTGAGGTCTGCGAGTGTTGACCTTGTATCTGCCCATCCCGAACAAAGCCGCAACACAAGCCAGCTCTGTACTTGGCGTAGCCATTTTTACCGTTGGTGCTTTCTGCTGCTGTGCTCTCAGCTGAAGCCCCGGCAAACCAGCAAGCGAGTGAACGGTCAGTTCGGACCCAAACTGCCGCGGAAACAAACACACCGCGCACCAACAGGCAAAGAAAGGCAAACACATCTCCCCGGCGCCGACAGCCAGAATGAGCACAACACACACACACACACACAAACACACACGCACACACACACACACACACACACACACCCGCACACACACACACACACACACACACACACACACACTCCGTCGTTCTTTTTGCTGTTCGGGCTGGGCCACCCCCCCTCGCACCAACAGCAGGAGCACAAGTACATCAACAGCAAACACAACACTCCTACCTGCCAAACCTTATCCCTCGACCGTGAAGCTCTTTATCCTGAACCGTTTCTGTTAGCTGGTGCAGGGAGGGTCACATGAGTGCAAAGCAAGAGCCCTCAATCCCACTGCAGAGCCAGCAATGCGGCTGAAGACCGGCCGTGGATCCATCGCTAAAATAGAGCCTCTACCCTTGAGCCCGCACTCCCCCACCCAACCTCCCCCCAAAATATTAGCCAATGAGTTACTTCCACGCAAAGCTGGAACTTATAAGCCCCTAAACCTCAACGCTTCGACAAAAAGACTCGAAGCTCCAAAGCCTTCAGCCCAAGTAAAAACGGAGCAAATCACGAGCTCAATGGTCTATGCTCCAGACCTTAGATAATACTAATACTCCTTGACCATCTTACACGCCATGCACCCTCAAGGGCCCCTAAACCGGGAGCCCTTAGTATCCGGAAACCAAAGCCTTCACTTCCTAAGCACTTGAAAGCTACAGCTACAAGCCCCCTTAAGTGCCTGAACGCCCAGCAGTCCCGAACCAAAATCCTAGCACCTATACCCTGAATGAAAATCCTTATCATAGTCAGTCGTAATATATGCTACTACCAAACCCTGTTCAAGTTATGAAGGCCCCTATTTTCACGCAGAGCTTTGAACCTGGCCCAGTTCAGCCATGAACTTATATCACGGTCTCTTTTCGGGTCATTGTTAAAAGGTTGCCATACTATTTTGGGGCCTAAACAGGGACCTCAATTTAGAGAACTACCCCTTCAAAGCCACGGCTTTCGGGCTTTGGGGAGCCCACAAGACTGGATTAAGTTCTATACGAGCAACTCTATATCCCGGATTTTGAACCCAAAGCCCAAACCCGAAATCTGAACCCCAAACCCTGAGCCCGTACGAGCCTAAAGCTCGAGAGAGCCTATCTCCCAAACCACAGAAACCAATAGCCAAACTCCCTTCTTCCCTAGCATGTTTTAGCCCAAGATCTCACTTGGCTGAGGTCTCCTCCGTTTACGTGGCGCTCAAGAGAGCTGCGGCCACAGATTTGCAGGGCGGTTTTTTTTTGGGGATTTCGGGTTTGTAGGACGTAAGGGGCTTATAGGGAGCAAAGTTTAGGTCCCAGGGTTTAGGACTTGCTCGAGGTTCGATAGATTTGTGGCTCAAAGCTTTTGGGGGTTCGAATCTTGGGTTTGGAGTTTGGGCCCAAGTTGAGGACCATTGAAACTAGGCTTAAAGATGCGCCAGGCAGAATTTAGGATAGCACCTGGCCGTCAGGTAGCATAGACGATTCAATAGATGGATAGATTGCAGCGAAGATGCTGGCTCACGTCCAGTCTGTATTCTAACAGTCAAGCTCGCTAAACCCCAAAACCTACTGCTGTTCAGCTTGGTTGCGTAGTCGCAACACACTCGTTCTTGTCGAGAGCAAGTGCCCAAAAAGGCGTAGACATGCACCAAAGCATACGGCGTAGCATTGCAGACTGATCGCGCTCGAGGCACGTGTGGGCAAGCTTTCCGAGGTGCTGCGGGTGCTGTGGGCTCCAGACTCTACTTAAAGGATCATGGGACTTAGTAAGTAGGTTATATCTGGGGTTATAAGTCCCCTAAGTGGGGTTATCCTAATTATAACCTACTTATAACCTTACTTACTAAGTCCCATGAGCCTTTAAGTAGACTTTGGGTATGAAGATCCAGCTATCGGGTACTCATGTCGTTGAGAGCTCCGATCAGCTAACCAAGGGATAGGAGTGTGTGTGACTTCTGTGAAGGGCTTTCTAAGGTTCTATGGATGTTATACCTTAGCACGAGCACCCCTGTTCTGGCAATTATTATGTTGCTATGCTGCTCTCAGCATTAAGGCTTCTATACCATCTCGTGTCCATAAAACCAAAAAGCATGGAAGCAAGCCCTTCGAATCCGTGCCGGCTTCGTGCGTGCGTGCCAGGGCGCCTCGGATAAGGCTTTGGAGGAGGCCGAGCTTCTCAGCCGCTTGAGCCAGGACGGGCGCAGGTAGGATTTGGGGGTTTCGGGGTTTGGGGTTTAAGAGTTTGGGGTTGAGTGGTTTAGTGTTTAGGGTTCAGGAGTGTTGGGAGAGTGTTTGGGGTTTCGGGGTCAAGGATTTAAGGCTTAGGCTCCGCCAAACCACAACCCCACAAAACTTCTGAACCTCCAGAGCTCGAAAAGCCCTTAAACCGTAACGCTAAGGCCTGCGACTTTGCTCGGAGCCAGGAGAGCCCACAGATCCTCCGCTGCTTTGACTTCCGACTTCTTCCCGGCTCTCTTCCTGTGCTGAACACTCAGTGGCTTCAGGGCTGGGGGCCTCTAGGCCTAACCTTAACCCTGAATAACCTACCCTTTTTGGGGTTCCTTACTATGACTTCTTTATATAAGTCTAGGTTCTTCGGGGTTAAGGAACTGTTTAGGGCCTTGCAGGGCGCGCGGTTTAGGGTTTAAGGCCTTTAGGGTCTAGAAGATTCTAGGATGCAAAGGGCTTGGTGCTTAATAATTATGTTAACGGCTTGTGCCTGTGTTGAAGAGTCAGTGAGTTGCGAAGGTCCTAGAAGAGGTTTTCGTAACCTAGAAGACGTGCTATATACAAGAGTTCTCTGGTCAAGAGGATTCTAGAAGCTATGCTTCCATGTGAAGAGTTCAGAGGTTCAATAATGAGGCAACACAGTTCTGGGTTAGGGAAAATCAAGTCGAGGGTTTGGAGTTTTCAATGCTTTGCTTTTTTTCGGTTCGGAGTGCGCCCAGGGTACTACCAAGACCTTGAACGCAATCAACCTTGCCTTATCGCTACCTCTGTAATATTTCCTTTGACATTTACTTGCTGTGGCTTCCGTGTTGGATTGAGGAAGGTCTCGGGTGTGGGTCTTTCTACTGGTTGAACATTGGGTTCAGGCAGTTTCGCATTCATCATGTTTAGCAAGTTGTGTTGTCTGAGGGCCGAGAGATTGGGAGTACTGCCGGGGGATTTGAGAAATATTTTGGGTCATTGCTTATGCGGTTTGAGTGATGATGGTGTTTGGGGGTTTACTCAGTCGGGATCGTCCCCCAAACCAGCAGCCAGCTATTTCCCAAACCCACCCCAGGGCTCCAACAGACCCTGAATCTGAGGACCCCTCGTTCTAAAACCTTGATGTGTAAAACGTTGATGTGGGCAAGGCGTTGCTTAAGGAGCGGAAACTTAATTCCTAAACCCTAAGCCCTAAATACTCACAACTCGCACCTAAGAACCTCGCCTGGCATTGTCCGAGTTGTGAGAGCGTAAACCCTAAATCCTAGTACTAAGGCTGGAACTCATGCTGGAGTTCGCCCCATTGGGCGATCTCAGCGGCAGGACGGGCCTCGTAAATCCAGGGCTGACGCGTTATGCATGGTTTTTAGAGTTTAGCCGGTTTAGCCGCATGGAAGGTATGGAGTTTGGGGTTTAGGACGGGTTGTTACGAGCGTTCCACGAGATGTTGGGAGGGGCTGAGGGCCCGTGGCATTGCATTATGGGCTTGAGCGACCCCGGAGACAACACCTTCGAGTATTATGTATATCCCTTAACTCTATAAGCCCTGAACCCTAAGCCAAACCGGGCCTCTTCCTGTAATTTAAGATATCCAGGCTTTGGGCTTAAGGGTTGCTATCAGGGTTCCTTTAAGGTGGGATCTGAACGCTCCGTCGCGATACCCCCTGTAGTCGGTGTATGAAGTATTCTGACCCAGGACCCCTCTCCTAACTATCGGAACCTCTATACTGCGTCGCCTGCGGGAAGGATGCTTCATTCCTGATCCTGCTTAAGATGCTTGTCCATGTATACCGCGGTTGGGATGGGTCTGTCGGGGTACAGGCTTCGGCTGTTGGGTCGCACACTCCCTAAGCCCTAAACCCCTAAACCCTGAACCCCTAAACCCCTAAGCTCCTCAGCATTCGCCTCAAGCTACGAGCGTCATAGAGCCTGAGCTTAGAGCAGGCAAGTCGTCAGGTAGTCCCCCTACGTGGCTTGAACATAGAAAGCTGAGAAACTTGTTCCCCAAGCATCCATGGGAGCAAGTAATCTGCTACTTGGGCTTCGGATTGTGTGTTTATGCAGGTGAGTTTTAGGGAAAGTACATGGTTCTTAGGCAGCAGGCACTCAGACCCTTAGTGCCTTACGGCATTAGGGTTTCACATAAGCCTGACGGCAGGATTCGGCAGCACAAAGATGCCTGTCTGCAGTTCGATTCAAGAGCATTGAGATGTTGTTGCTCGGGTTCTGGGATTATGTAAGTGCTGCCTGTGGGTGGGTTTAGGGTTCGGAGTCTTTGGGTATAGGATTTCGGTGATTAGGGCTTTAGGGTTTCATGATTTTAGGGGTTGTCGAATCAAAGGGTTCAGGAGAAGTCTTCCCGGGATGTACTATGCAGCCATGCGTTCCCTGTTCGACTCGGACCCCGAAGTACTCTGCAAAGACGCCAAGCAAGCCGGCAATTAGCGCGACTCCAGCTGCGGACTAACTTTGACCTTTCTCGCAGTATCCAGTAGGCACTAATGCCTCAGCCCGAAAAAACTCTTGAAGAGGACTTCCTCGGGAGCCTGATGCATTCAAAGGAGTGGTGTCACTCGTCCTCGGGACCTGCAGCGCAATCGGTGGAGGTTGGAGGGCTTTGGGCGTTAATATAAAAGCCTTAATAATTACTAACTCTATCTTGGGGTTCCTTATTATAAGTATAGCATATTCTTTTTTGGGCGTTCCATGATGATATTTATAGCACAATAGGAACCACAACCACCTTTGAATACAGATTAAGGCCCCTATAGTAGAGGTCCTTTTCAGGTTCCTTCAGGGGTTTCTGAGCGATCTATGAGGGTCCTATCGCATCAGGCTATCGGTAGTTTTCCAATGAAAGCTTCTATCGTGTTTTAAAGTCTTGTATGGATTCGACGGGGTGTGTGGCTTTTTGTTTGAAGGCATGGAGTCTTAGCTATAGTATCTACTGGTGCAGGCTTTGGAGAGTTGTCTTCAGAGTTTCAGACCCTCTAGACTTGATTTCTTATCAAAAGGTGCACTTCAGGTGGCTAGTTGAACTCTCAAATGCCGATGACCCTTCTTAAATATGCTCCAGCTAACCCCTAGCCCTGAACTCTACGCCTTGAGATATGCACCAAGAGCAGGCCGGAAGTGGGATGCCGGAACAGGAGGTCGTGTCCTATGGTGCTGACCTTAATTGCTACCAGCAAAGACTCGCATGTTACTATCACGATCCACAGCAATCATGCCCATACCCCGAACCTTAAGCCCTAATCATAATGCGAAGAAGCGGGTATTTGAGGATGTTGCTTGCATCCAGGTTGTAGTAGCAGACTGCAAAATGCAGCGTTGAGCTGGAGGCTCGCAGGATTGGCTGGGAAGTTGGCCAAAGCGCAGTAATGGTATTTCCCGAATAATGATAGTAAGTTCCTAACGATGCTTAAAATGATGCATCTGCTTAGCACACACAAGCAATAAACATCAGTCGGATATAACAACATTGAGAATTCACAACCGTGACACATGTCTTGCAAGAAGAATCTTCGCTGCGGAGAGCAGGAGTGGCAGGGGTGTTTAACCTAACGACACAATCCCTCCTCAGGCAGCATACATAGAATGTCTTCAAGTTCTGTCAGCAAGAGGCCGCTGTGTTATTTGGGGGCTGGTGGTTGTTGACAATTACACGACGAGCGCGAGGACAAGGATGAGCAGGAGGAGAACTGTTCCCTGAACCTTCGACATGGGGATGAAACCCTTTCAACACAAAGCCAACAATCACCGCCGTAGACTCAAAACCCCACCGCCTTTGCGGCGTGAAGCGCAAAGCCCCAAACCCCCTAGAGGCGTTTATCCACACACATTGTGAATACGTGCTACACAAGAGATAAATGTAAGCAGACAAGTTATATACATATTATACATATATATATATATGTATGTCTATACATACATACAGACATACCTACATGTATCCATGCATACATACATACACATATAACTCTTACTTCAACTTGCAACGCTAAACTAAAGGTTGCGACATCGCTTCTGGCCTGGCCTACCTGCATGGCCTCCGCCCGAAGGCCGCAGAGGGGTCCTCCCCCTTTTTCTCACTCCCTTGCTCGCTGTCTCTCTCTCTCTCTCTCTCTGTCTTTCTCTGTCTCTGTCCTCGCTATACATATACATACGTACATCTCTCTCTCTCTCTCTCTCTCTCTCTCTCTCTCTCTCCCTCTCTGTAAATGTGCGTAGATAGTATGACATAAACAGATAGGTCAAAAACTTATATATATATATATATATATATATTATGTTTCCATGCTACATATGTATATGTATATAATGGTTTGTGAGGTTACATACATATGTGTATATATCTACACATGTATATGTATGTGTGTATATATATATATGTATATATATATATATATACATTGACACAGATATATACACAACGATAGAACACTTCGATAGATACTCCCCCAACCCAACCCCACCCCACCGCCAACAAAAAGCGGATCTGCGCGCCCCAGCTCCGCAGCATCTTCGGGGTTTCGCATTCCTGAAGCTTTACCTTGTATGTCTACAGGCTTACTTGGGAAGTAAGCAGAATGCCTTATTACGGACCCGAAACCCCGGACGTAACATTTCGGATTTGCGGACTTCAAGAGTTTGTGCAATGCTCTTGTTCTGTTTACGAGAGCTTCAGGACCTACGGAGATGCACTTCTCATCTTCGCTATAAGGACCTTATCTTTTATGTATCCCGTGATCATTTTCTGACATCCTGCATCAGGGAGTGCTTGTTCTTGAGCCTGAAGGCTTTCCTTTTGAATATGCATGAAAATGCTCTACACTTGTCCCGAGCTAACACGGAATAAGAAAAGCGCTGAACAACCCCAGCATCTTAAACTGGCTTTCGGAACACGTGTCGAACACGCAGCCCGAAACTTTCTGTCCGAATGCTGCGGTAAGCTACAAAACGAGGTATTCGTAATACCACCCGTAGTGGGTAGTGCTGCCAAGCAGCAAGGATGGCACTGGCAATGGTGATATGACTGCAAGAGCGGTACCCTTTCTTAGGACGACAAGTGCCTGGCCGGCAAACCCTGCCCAGATCCTGCATCGGGATGTGAAGCCGGCCAACATCCTCCTCTTCCATGGCCAGGTGTTTGGAGCGTTTCTCAAGTTTTGGAGGGTTTGCTCTAGCAGTCAGCCATTCGCCCGTCATATCCTTGAGGTATCTGCTTAGACATGCCCATGATATAGGTAGGGCATGGGGTCTACAAGGCATCTATTCCTGAAGCCGGTGCAAGCCTGCTGCAAGCCACAGGCCTTGAATCCCTAAACTTTGGTCCCTGCATTGGGATCACATCCCTGACTACCTGCAATTAAAAGAAACACCTTAACACCCACTACAGCAAAATGGAAAGGCTCACAAACAGACTCACAATCAGACGCATACACACACACACACACGCACACGGAGGAAGCCGTAAACTCAAAGCCACCAAGCCAGGACACTACGGTCCTAAAGCCTTGAATCGTGAAACCCCAAACCCTTATATACTGCCGTCAAGACCTCAAAACGAAACCCCTCAACACCAACATCCAAGAGATATACGCACCTTCATGAAACCCTTTAGCGTCTCGGGATATATAACCTCTTGCAAGCTGCGAAAAACCCCGAAACCTTATTCAAGACCCGACTACAACCGAAACCCCAATATTACTATGTTCATTGCTTTTATGAGGTCGTAAAATCATTATTGATGCGGCTACTGTGATTAGTCATATGTATATATATATATATATATATATATTGTGAGTAGTAGTGCATTAGCATTGTTGTGATTATTATTTTGGTTGTGTATTATTACTCAGGTCTTTTATGGGTCTTACCACTGTTATGATATGGTGGTCAAGATTGTTAAGAACCCAACCCTAAACCCCCAAATCCTAACCCCAAACCCTAAGACCCCCCTCCCATTGCCAAAAGGCTGAGCTCCCCTCCGCCAAGCTCGCCGATTTCGGCATTGTCGGGAGCTCGGTCTGGGCTTTTGGGCTTACCGGGTTCAGGGTTTGGGGCTGGGCCTGGAGGGTTGGTGGCTTAAAAAACGCCTGATAAACAACAACATAGCAAACACGCGGACGAGTAATTACCCGGAGCCTCAAGCCGCCTTTGTCTTTTGTGCTTTGTAAGTATTCCTTGGCTGACGGGTTTGGGACAAGAAGTGTTCAGGGGTTCATTGCATAGGGTGTTGTGGATTCGGAGGTTGAAGTCGTCAAGGGCTTAGGTCCAGGATAAAGAGGCAGGGTAAATCAGCAGACCTTCAATTCCAACCACAAACCGCCTATCGACCCCCCGACCCCCCAAGACCGGAATCTTAACCAAGACGATACAGCTTAAACCGGGCAAGCGTAACACACTGGCCAGTCAACCAGCCCTTAGAGGGAAGAACTTAACGCGGCAGACCCCAACGGCCTAAGCCCAAATCCTAAAGCCTAAGCCCTGCTTGTAGCCCCACCCACCCGAGGCCAAAATCCTCGAGATGGAAACATCGCTGGCTGGCGCAGCGACGGCCGGACCACCCGATTTGGGGCGGGGGGTGGGTGGGTTTTGGGTCTAAGTTTTTCGTGCTGGCATCTTTAGGTACTGTATGTAGAACAAGCGAGGGAGAGAAAGCGCTAGAGAGAGAGAGAGAGAGAGAGAGATAGAGAGAGAATGCCTAGACTTTTGACCCTAGAAGAATTGCATGTTTTTAGTTTCCATATAGTATGTATACATAGGCCGAAACCCTCTGCCGACCGCTGAAACCCCTTGCATTAGAGGTTTATGGGAGCCTGAAAGATTTGAAGTTCTTGAGGGTGCGGGCTGTAGCAGTGGTTCGAGTTGGGTTTAGGGTTTAGGGTGGAACTGGTGCGAGAGAAAGGCTATGAGCCACATGGTGGTATGAATAAGTCGAAGCATGTTTGGCGAAACAAAGTGTAGCTATGCATGGCCATAGTTCGAGATCTTCGGTTTGAGCCAAATGCTCGCCGTAAGCGAGGGTGGCAATGTAAGACAATTCAGGGACCAAGTTTGAACTACAACATACTTCGGAACTGGGCTTGCGGGATGATGACTTGCCCTACACCCTACCTGCAGCCCCAAACCCTAACAGCAGTAGCTTACAGAGTTACCGGCTACATTCGTAAGGGTATAGCCCTCAAAACCATAGGTATTTAATTGGAGCCCAAGCTCGAAATCACAGGACACTGAGCTTGAAGCCCGAGTCTTAGATCCTTTGAGCCTAGACTAGACCCTGAACCCAAACCCAGGTCATCGGCACTCCGCACTACTTCTCTCCCGAGCCGGATGCTTGCTGACAGGGCGACGTTGACCCTCTCTGGGTTTTAGGGCACTCCGGGCCCGGGCTGAGCAGGCTTAGGGTTCCTATTCGAGTACCTTCTTTTTTGGGCTCTGTTTACAAGCCCACGTGGCAAGACAACCTGCCACCCAGAAGTATAGGGTGCTGCGACGGGGCTAACGAAGGATGCGCTCAACAACAAGGTTGGCTTCAGAGATGTTGCTAGGTTCACTCTTCACTCTAAACTATATATGCAGTCGAACGAAGACTTGTAACAAGATCCCTCGACACGTGTGCAAGCTGCTTTAAGCCCAGCTAGTCCTGTAACAGCTCGTAAACAACTCCTGAGCCAGAAGCAGGGATTGCTAAGATGCTCAGGCACAAATTGATGATTCTGTGATTGTTTTCGCGGGTAGATGGAGTCTGCGACATTGCGTGCTCCGGAGTTGAGCTAAGGTGGATGCCATGTACGTTGTTTAGCCTCCAAGTTCAAGACGGCCACCATGTGTTACCGTGTCGCATCGAGGTTTTCGTATCCTTTGAGAAGATAGTCGGAGTAGGTCTGGTCATGCGACAAATCTTGGCTTTGTTATTTCATATGTAGTCAATGATGTAGAGATCATACAAGCAGCTCGGGCACATACTGCCTCGATGTGGCACCTGAAGAAAGGCACACAAAGCCGATGGCGAAGAACCGCCGCCTGGAACATGTTCTATTAGGCTATCCAAAGATACACAACACACCAAAGCCCATACTACCTACTTTCAACCCCACTCGACATCCGTGTCCACAATAGCTCCCGGTAGAAGCTGTACGGAGCAAAAGATCATGCCAGGTGGCTAAGTTTGGGTACGGTTTGAACCAAAAGACTTAGTTAGTTAGTTCACCCAGTCATGACTTCGTATACAGTCTGCTCCTCTTTAAGCACACGTGTCGAGGCTCTGCCGTGGGGAGCAGTACGATGAGCGCCAGACCCCTAGCATTTGATGTTCGCGATTGGTTGTGTAAGGCTAGTATTCTCAAGGCTGGCGAGTGAGGATGTGGTGTTATGTTTGGAAGAATTTGTAAACTGGCTGACTCCGCTGTCTTTCTGGCTCATTGCATCGGGTTCAGGGCGCATCGTACACACATGTACAGACTGTGCAGAAACGTGTCGAGTTCAGGGTTTCATGCGATTGCTTGTTCACGGCTACCTCTGACTTGATGCGCTCACTCCACTTGAAACCCATAGCTGTAGCCCTCGGAGCATGCCTGACATGTCCGACTGAAACTTGTTTATCTGTCGAATAGGTTTAGTTTAGAATTTCCGGTGAGCGCATGCAGAGAGATTGCGAGTGTGTGTGTGTGTGTGTGTGTGTGTGAACACTACAGCCCTCAAAACCCTATACTCCAAGCTCTTCAACTCCTCGACCACAACCCGTGGCCCTGAACCCTATACGCCGCTCTTGACTAACCCTCAGAGCCCTGCACATTGGACTCGACAACCCGTGGCCGAGCCCCTCGCTGCGTAGAACAGCGTATAGCGCTATAGGGCTGTATCACACTAAATCTACCCGGAGTGTATATAAGGGCACAGTAACACTACCGACCTTGCTGACGCTGCTATGAAGCACGTCAGGACTGTAAATTCACAGCTGTATCACGAACCTCCGCAAAAACATGCAGAGCGGCATGCAAAACTGCACACAATATGCAGACAGGCTTCGCAACCGTACGTTTCGCAGGTACGCATATGCGTGGTAGTATATTATAGTACCCTTATAGTAATTTAATTTTTATAGTCCCCTTTAAAGGAACCCTGTCTCATAAGCCCTTAAAGGTTACAACATTGAAACTGCCAGGTGCCGACTCCTGGGCACTAGGTGGCGCTGGGGATCGCTGGTTATAGGGAAGAATTGACTTCGCCAGGGCTCCGGTTACACAAATAGGAGGTTACTAACAGTGTATTATGTAACTAACTAATTTTCTATGTAGGCGGAACCCTCGTGCTTTCGGGGAGCCTACAGTAGGAACTGGAGCGCCAAGAAAGCGAGTTGGATGTGAACGGTTTAGGGTTCATGTTGTTGGGTGCCGCTTGTCTGGGAGGGGTTTGCCCTGGACCTTGCATTTGGAGCTGAGGTTCGGTCGGACGTTTGCAGCTTGCTGCTATGACTTGAAGCCTATTCGGTTTAGGGTTGCTCAGATTTCCGTGAGTATAGACTGATTTGGGTCAGGTCAGATTCATTGAAGATGGAGTTTGCTGAGGGTGGGGGAGCCACGTGTTCGCTTTAGGGTCTTTGATGCCAACTACCAGGCTATGTACGGTCTCAGCATGTCTCAGCGGCTTTTGCCGGTGATGGAACACCCGTTGCGACACGTCTCCAAGGGTGTAGACGACACTGCACAAAGGGCCTGTCCAAGCATAGATGGTCAAAAGATCTTGGGTGGACACGGCGTCTGCGGACAAATCAACGGATTGCACAACTCGTATTGCACTCTAGGCTAACCCCTAAGCCTTAGCCACTAGCCCCCGAGCAGGGAGGGGTTCATGCAGAGTGCCGCACAGCTCAAACGGGTGTGGGTCTTGGGGAACATTCCCCACTGAAGCCCAGAACTCATTAGAACCCGACTCCCCAAAGCTCTCTGTAACCGATGCACCATTCGCTAAATACAGTGGCACCTGCGCAGGCTGCATTCTCTACGAAATGCTATGCCTTCATCGTCCGTTCCATGAGGCCTGCCTGCGCAGTGCTTCATGCAGAGTCTTGATCGAGTCAAATCCCGGACCCCTCGCACAGACGTATATACATGCCCTTATGGAGCCTTTATCTTACCGTAGCCTTACAGCCTTATGACCCTATGAGTTGAAAGCCCTGAGCTCCAGCCCCCAGCCCGCACCCTCCCCATAACCCCAACGCTCGAAGCACGCAAACCCTGAGGCCCAAGCCCTGAACCTGAAACCCTTTGCAATGCCCTTATGTAGCTCTTCGGCAGACCTTGGTGTACAGAACCCGATATAATAGATCTCTAAACAACCAAACGGCCCATCGCATGCTCACCCACAAAGCCCAAATTACCTTGTTCAAATCATTAATGTCTATGCAGGAGGATCAAGCTTCTTTCAGCGATCTTGTAAGAACTTGATTCAGCCATATGGAGACCCATTCAAGCCGTCACGCGCCTTTCTTTCTCTTGATACATCTTCTAAGATAACATACCCGCAAAGCCCTATTCCAAGTAGCAGCGCCCTAAATTGAAAACTAATTGAATCCCATGCCTCAAAACCTCGGGCCTTAGGCGGAAGGCAACCTCGCGTTGCTGGCCGTTCGAATCTCGGAAGGCCCTGAGGGCAAAGGGACCACTTTGCGTTAAGGGTGTAGGCTTTAGACGTTTACATGGGGTTGGGCTCAAGAGTTTGTAGATGGATATCATGGGAAGTTTAATAGTGGCCGGTTTCACAGCAGCTAATCCGCGGGTGCGGATAATAGGAATATAGGTCGAGAGGAATTATATGAGCGTGGACCGTTGGGTTGGAGAAGGCTTGCTCATGTCATGTTGTCAGTTTGGCTTGCAGAACTATGGTAGAATAGACTTGCAGGGCTGGCGGGGTGTAGAGGAACTTATCACTTCCTTCATCGTCAAAACTCGAGATTACTTCTTATTCTCTACCCCCCAATTACCCTCTAGTGTATCCCAAATACCGCTATTAGAGACCATAAGGGACGTGTTACAGGGCCCTTGAGGGGTGCTGGATGTTAACTTAAAATCTTCCTTCCTTGGCGCGAACGCGGGGTTTGTTGGTTTGGGTCATAGGGTTTAGAGTTTACGGGTTTAAAGTTTAGGGCTTAGGGTACTTCATAGGTTGTCCTAGGGTTTAGAGCTTACAGGGTTTCGGGGTTTTGAGGGCTTGTCGGATTAAAGGCTCAGGGTACCTTCCTAGGTTGCCCTAGTAGTTGAGCAGGTACCGTCGGGGCCTTAGTAGGCAGAATAGGGTTTTGGGGTTTCCTTATTATTGTTCTTGTAAAATATACCCCCCCGAAACCCTATATTCTAATAAAAAAAATGGCTACAAGGCAAGTGCAGCTCCTACCTGGAGCTTTGCGCCTCCTTGACGGGTCTGTCGGTCATGGTTGCTTCTTTCGTTGCCTTCCTATGCCTCACCTGCTTAACTGCAGGGTTCGCGGTGGTTGTGCATCTGGATACGAATGCGACTGTATCTGATGGACTTGTCGAGGCTTTTCGCGTAGAGCCTTCCAGGCAAGAAGCTGCAAAGAGTGGCAGTTGTTCCTTGACTTTGGAAAGAGTCAGAGCAGCAGCACTTGAAAAGGCAAAATTTGCAAAGTGCGAACTTGAGAGAGAATCAAAGCAAAGGGAACGATTGACCTATGAAGCCAACTTGAGGGCGTGGCAGGATAGCATAGCTGCGGCTGTCGATGCCAAAATCGCTCTACTTCAAGCCATGGAGAGCGATTTAGTGGCTTTTCAGGATGGCAAGAACAACGTTGATGCTCAGATTCCACGTGTGGAGGCAGACAGAGTTGCTGCAGAAACGCTTGTTGTCGAGTGTGAGGATCGCCTTCATGTGCTTGGGTCAAAGTCTATGGAACCCCAAGTTTGTGCTGTTACTGGCTCAGGTCCATTTGAGCACAAACTCGTTTATGAAGTTGAAGACTGGGAGCTTGTAACGCTTGGCCACGTCGGTCCGGGCTGTGAAGCAGCTGCAGCGTCTGCTTCGTCCTCATGCTGCAATTGTTCTGCAGGTGTTTGTGCTCTTGACCCAGCTCCAGCATGTCAGGCGACATATGCAGCTGTACAGAACGCCTGTTTCGCTGATACACAGTCCGTTTTGGCGGAGAGAGCAGGCCACCTTGCCCAGCTGCAAACTGACCTTGTTGCAGCAAAGTCGTCCGTTACAGTGAAGGCTAGCGAACTCAAGTCTTTGCGAGCAGAAGCCAAACAGTGGGACAACCGGATTGCCCAACAGAGATCAGCTATTGCTACAGAGAGAGGAAGACCAGCTGTAACTCCTGAAAGGCCTGTTGCGAGAACTCCAGTGATTCCGGTGTGCACCTCCCCAGTCATTTTGCCAATTCCTCCTGAGCCCTATCGGCTGGAGTTTTATACTTTATTGAAGCAGGGCTCGAAGCTCAAGGTTGGATATGGTCAAGATGTGGAGTTGGAGTATACCTTTATGAGCAATTTCGAAAATGCTACAGATGTGCTCTTATGCACTGACATGTACAAGGCCGGAGTTCGTCTCAGCAAGCAGAAGAAAGGTGTTTTGCCTCCAAGCACCGTGCACGCTCTATACGCCAGCGAAGAGGACCTGTTGCGCAGTGCTGGAGAATTCTTTGGTCTCTATGCGGTCTATATGGAGGATGGAATCGAGCTGCGTAAACCCGACCAAAATGGAGAGCGCGTTGATGCAACCTTCACAACCTTAGAACCCGGAGCAGTGCCTGCTTATTCTTCTGTGACTTTGCTGGTGCCAGCTGACAGCTACGAGGAGGCTGAAAACAAAATGCTGGCCGGCAAATACGATTTCATTGTTCCTGGTGCGGCAGGACCTTTGCATGGCATTTCCCTGACATGTGATGGCGTTGCCGTCGATGATGATGGTGGCGTTACGTCACTGCCTGTTGGTTGGCAGGCTGTGTCTTGCCGGAGGAAAGGCCTCGCTCGTGTCCTTTTTTTACGTGGCGTGATGCAGATGCAAAAACCAAGGCCAGTGCGATATACTCTTTTGATCCGGCTTTGGCAAGACATGCAGTTGTTTATGAGATTCGTCTCAATGGCCCTGGAGCATGGGCTACATTCAAAGAAAAGGACGGACCTGCCTGCTTTGCAGTCGTTCTTGTCCAGGTGGAGGGAGTTAAGTGCTATGCTCCTTGTGCACAAACCTCTGAGAACGACGTGCAAATCTATGCTTTTACGGACTCTGGCGTTCCTTATTTGGATATTTCAGAGCTTCCTGTCCTTGCCTGGAAGAAGCGCTTTCCTGCGGCTAGCAGAATGATCTGCGGTACTGAGGAGCTTGAGGAAAGGATGCGCAGTTCTGAGAAGTGCCTTGCGAAACAGATTTTCACAGTCCCATGGTCTGAGTCTTTGTCTGCCGTTGGCATCGTTGATGAAGCGACATTTGTTCTTGCTGTCGATGAAATTGGTCTCCTGGACAGAGATTGGAAGCGAGTGCTCCAAAAAGTGGCAGTGCCAGTTTTATATTTGGTTTCTTTATTTACTCCTTATTTTGTTTCTAATTCATTTCCTCGTTTGGGCCCCCGTGTTGTAGTTTTGGTTTCTGGTTTTGGTGTATGGCTTTTCTCACGTTATGCTGGCTTGACTTTGAGTGGCTGGGGGACTACTTACCGTTTTGTCTTTTTGTTTTATTCTTTGGTTACTGCCTCAACGGAGCTTCCTTCATCTCCCGTGGAGTTGGCAACATGCCTTTTGGGCGTCGCTGCGAGAGGTGCAGCTCTCCTGGCGGAGACCGGTTGGGGAGTCGTAGCTTTTGAGGTGGCTTCATCAATTTTGCTTTCATTTGGTGCAGCTTTTTCGACAAAGGGTGCCTTGGCTGCCCGCGTCTTGCTGGTTCTCCACAGTACGACTGGCAATCCGACCACCAAGGGACTAATTGGAACGCGCCTTCCTCTCCGTTACGCTGTTTTCGGCGACCATGATGCCAGTTCTTGGGCGCTCTTGGCAAAGATTATTACCGGGGTGGAGACAAAGCTTCCAGTTGGCCATTGGATGCTTGGTACAGCCTTGGTTCTTGGATTGCTTGCAAGGTACGTTGCCATGCTTGCTCTGTTGCTGTCCTTTCTTCCAGCGACACCTTTCAAGATCACTTCCAAAGGCATTGAGCGGGAAGGAGTCCTGGCACTTTTCTCCTCCATCAAAATTGGTTCGGCGCGGGATGCCTTGGTGCTTGTCCTCTCCCTGGCTCGCAATCCTGTGGCATTGGTGCTGACCTTGGGAGCATACGCCGCATTTGGGGAACATTCAGGGACATATTTATCGGAGGCTGTGGCTCAATCTGTTGTGGATAGGGTGGCAACGGCAACCGCAGAAGGCGCTTGCCTGTTTGAAACCTCCGAACAAGCAGTGCAAAAGCGCGAGGGCCTCGAAAGCTTCACATCTTGGTTCACGGAGGGTGTGACACCTTTGCAGTCCAAAATTCTTCGTGGCATGCAGTCAATGGATTGGTCAGATGCTGCCAAGGCAACCTTCATCCAGTGCCTGCAGACGGACCCGGTTTTTACGCCTGTTGTGGAGCGCTTCTTACAGACCCTCGTTCCGCAGGTGAGTGGCAAGTACAAGGAGCCTCTTAACCGTGCGGTCAAAAGTCTAGCTCAGTTGGTGGTTTTCCGGTCAAAGGGATTCAGCGTAGGTTGTGGCCACTTGACGAGCGATGGATTGATGATTCCCATGCATGTCCTGACGGGTCCAAAGAACGAATTGGGTGCCTTGACAAAACAAGAAAAATTTCAGGTGCTTGTTGCTGGTGGCGGAAGGGTACATTTGTTTGAACTCACGTTTCTCCAAGCACCCAAGCCGGTGCAATTTCGTGGACTGACGGATTCCATCGCTTTTGCCGCTCACGAGAAGGAAGCAACAATGACTACTGGTGTAAGCAGCTTGGTGAAGCCAAAGCAGGTGGCGACGTACGAAGAAGAAAAAAAAACAGACCTTTCATTCTCTCGGCTAGGAGCATGCTTCATGCCACGCAACCTTGGGAAGGTCAAACTGACAGGTTGGTGATTGTTGCCTTCACCCCCATTCGGTCCATTGATATTTCCCCTAGGCTCTCCGACTTCTTCCAATTCCCACAACATCCTAAAGGAGCGCCCTCGTCGAGTTCCTCACAAACATACATACATGATTTCTTCGATACCCGTGTCGAAGTTGTTGACTAGACCCTCAGCTGACCAAAGCCGCCTAATTCCTTAATTTCGTAATTTCTTAATTAGTCACTCAAACTGGCGCCTTGTCTGCAATAATTGCCGCTTCTCTGCACTTAAAGATGCTCGGCTTGCAATAAAGATGCTCGGTCTGCATTCATGCAACTGGACTGCATTTGGCGGCTCCTTTCTGCACTTAGGGATGCTTCGCTGCAAGTCTGCATTTAATTAATAATTTGTACTTGATAATCACTGAAAGATGTCGGCTTCGCTGTATCTAGTCTCTTACGACCTTTAATACTTCGGGAACCAGAACCCCTGACCAAACCAAAACAAAACAAAAAGAGGGGGTCACTTTGCACCGATGCCCACTGCTCCACACAACCTGCCCTCACTCTGCTCCCCTTCACACCGATGCGCCACTTGCTCTAATTACGGGGGTCCCCAGGGACATGCGGTATGGGGTCAGGGCGCCTTGAAGTTCAGGGTCTTTCTTTGGTGACACGTTGCATTGCCATGGTCTTTCGCCTCTCCGGCCTCAATGTTGCTGCTCCGGACTGCCGGACTTTCGCTTACTCTTTTTGGAGGAGGCTGTACTCCGGAACACTGGACAAGACATGTTCCATGCTGGCGCTGGTTTCTAGTCCACTGGACATTCGCTGCACTCTATGCAATTAGAGGAGGCTGTACTCCAGGAGACCACTACACAGATCATATTTCAATGCTGGGATATGACTCTATGCCCTTGAGTCCTTCACTGCATACTATATGTATTTGGAGGAGGCTGTACTCCGGACCTGTGAACAGATCACGTACAGTGTTGGGCTATGACTATATGCCCATGGATCACCGAACGTCTTCGCAATGTCAAGGAGGCTGTACTCCACTGGATGCCACCTTTGGCAACATCCTTTAGCAAACCATCATACGCATCGCTTTCGACTATCTTGAATGGTGACATCCATACAACCATTTTCGTTGAATCTGGTGATGTGGTTTACCTACAGAGAGTACGCTTTGTGAGTAGTCTTCTCCTATGGGGGGATGGGCTCCATTGACTGAATGACTGCGACATTGCCTATGGGACCTTCTGTCCTTGGATTCTTTCTCTGTCAGTGATATGGGAGACGGAGATAACTCTGGATGGACATGTTCCACGACTCTGCCACCCTGGCAAACACAAAAACAGGAAACATCGAGTGCAAAAGATACCTTGGTCTATGTTGCCTTGGTACTCTGCGTGGCGCGGGCAAACTGCAGCCTCGGAGTACAAACGTGAACAACATTCCTCAGGAAGGACTTTTGCTGAGCCCAGGGGCCAAAACTTTTGAGTGATGAAAGTGATGTGCACTGCTGGCAGTGATGAAGTCATGTGCACTGCTGGCAGAGAGGGATTTCAGAACTGAAATGTGCGCCCTTGCATTTTTGTTGAAGGAAATCCTTATGGGATGCACTTTCCTTTAACCTCCAGTGCTTGAAGCCATGGAGTTGAACGATTGTAAATTAATCCTAGCTTGAAGCCATGTGGATTTTGTTGCAAGACTATCTCTCACTGTCAGACCTCGCGAGCGGACTTTGATCTCCAGCCATGCGAGAGGGAAAAAATTATTAAGGCCCCTACATTAACCTTTCTATCTTTAACCTTTTAGGAGCCGGGTTTGAGGTTTTGGATTACGGATCAGGGATTGTGGAGTATACAAACACAGCACAAGCGGGGTTGACCGTTAGTTCCTCTTTTTTGGAAACTGGACAACTTTTGCCAAAGCCTTACTCTAACAGACTGCCAACTGCCTGAGCCCGTACAGCTTATATTGTGTCTTCAATATTTCGAGCAGGGATTCCCCGAAGAGGCATCAATAAAGAGTATGGCACCCTTTCGATACGCGCCCTAACAGGGGATCCATATCTAGAAGACTCCAGCTAGTAGCACCTGCTCCCTGAACAGCAAACTCGGGAACTCACAACCCAAAAGCACCGAACCGAGCTGGCTGGTGGCTTGTCTCAGTGCATAGATCTCCTCTATGGGGCTTAAGAATTAGAATAGGGTTTGGGGGTACATTATACTATGATTGAAATAAGGAAGCCCCCCCCAAAAACACACTTTTCTAAAGTTTTAAACCCAAAATCCGCGAGCTTCGAAGCTATCGCTCTCCGGGAGGGAAGCTCGATCGTGCTGCACTGGAGAAGCAGGCCGGGGGTTGCCTTGATTTGGATCTGTAGGGTTCTTTTTTCTTTTAGGGTGTAGGTTGAAGATATATAGGGTTCTTTCTTATTCTAGGGTGTAGGTTGAAGATATCTTAACAGGTATTTGATTTGGATCTATAGGGTTCTTTTATTTTAGGGTGTAGGTTGAAGATATCCTAACAGGTATTTGTGGGTTTCTTTTCTTTTAGGGTGTAGGTTTGAGATATCCTAACAGGTAAATTTGTGGGTTTCGATGTGGGTTTTACACGGGTCCTTTGGGGCTTTGTTTGTGTTTCTGGGAGTCAGATAGGGTTCTTTAGGGAAATATCATTTAGAGCACCATCATTCGGCCCAAAAACCAACTACGTTAAGGGCACTCAACCGGTTGAAGTTCAAGCTAGGTTTCGGGTTTCAGGGTTAAGGCTTCAGGGTAAATAACATGGACTACACTCCGAAGATCACACAGCATCGGCATGCAAAACCCTAAACTCCTTACGAACCTTTAACAACCAGGACATGCCTGAGCAGTCTAACAAGTCAATATAGACAGGAAGGGAACACATGCTCACTGTCCGAAGCCCGGCATCCCCAAGAGACGGCTCAGGTTTAGACAAGTAGGTGCTGAGTGCTCAGAGTCGAAGGTTAGTCGTGATTGTTTGGTAGATGCCTGCTCCGAGCCAGACTTATAACTGCTTATATCCCCACTTAGGGTATTTATAACCGGTTTAGGGTTTAGGGTTTAGGGTTTACTAAGTCCCATGAGCCTCCAAGTAGGCCCAATACTGGACCTTGACTTGCAGACCCAGCTTTCAGAGCAAGTAGTAGCTTATGGCTGGCTAACTATCAGGTACCATCATAACCCTTCAAGCCTCTCCAGGACCAGCGGGAATTTCAAGCTAGCCTTCAACCCCGATGTAAGCGTTTCGCCAGGCTGAACACTACAATGGCCGCTTGATCTTGGCCCTGGGCTTAGGAATAATAAGTATAGTAGTAATAATAATACAAATAGTATATATATATATATATAGGAGAAGTTGGAACGTGATCCCATTGGTGAAACCTTCAAAGGAAGCCTTACCCGAGAGGAGAGGTAGGGTTCTGAAGGCAGTATGCTACCACACAGCTACAGCTGTTCTAGTGTTTGAGAGCTTTTCGGAGCTGCGGCCGGCTTCAGGGGTGTGGGATATGTGTTTCAGGGTTTTGTGGTAGCTTCCCGGCCGATTTCCCAAGCCCGGATGCAAAAAAAGTTTAGCGGTGTAGGACCTGCAGTGCTTCAGAGCTTTGCGGAGGCTGCGGAGGTTGAGAGTGTGGAGTGTAGGGGCGTAGGGTTTAGGCATGAAGAGTGCGTAGCAGCGGTTTACCTGGATTGAGTACTACGGTTTAGGTTAGTCTTTAATGCTCTATCGTTTACAGATGTTAATCCTCACGGTTTAAGTTTTGGGTAAGCCTGAAGTCTCTGATATTCTTCCTGAACCAAGGTTTTTGACCACTTCCGACGTTCAACAGTCCGGAAGACGGATGTTTTGCAAGCTCTTGGGAGAGGTGTACCAAGTGTGAATGTCAGTCCTGAAGCTTGTGCCATATGGAGCTGAGTTTACTACCCGAGTCGGTTGGCCCTCCCTAAAATCTAAACCTGCTGTGCTTGCTGTGTTTGCGATGCGAGTCAGCAAACTAATAGGTCTAAGCCTCAAGGCCTACACCCCGAGATGACAATGGTCTAGGGATTTTGCCGTCGTCACTTGCTTGGCAAGGTGCTGACTGGTCTACTTTGCCCTCAGCAAGATCAGAGGAGTCGCGGAGCGTGGGTTTGTCGCGCCAGGGCGTTTCGCAGGTCCTTCATGGGGTATTTGCATACGGGTCTCGTATCTGTTACTCATCTCCACCACGCATTACCCTACAGACTTGTGCACATCGAAGCCCAAGCACCTAAGAAATAACATAGGGGTCCGTTGGACCCCAAAGGTTTGCGCCTGTGAAGCGAGCCCTTGTATAGAAACCTTACGGGACCCTCTTAAGACTGCACGTTCAGACCTTATAAGCCTGCAGTCAAAAGAACTGCGGTTTTACTAAACCCTAAACTCCCTAAACCCTTAAACCCTGGCGCATTTGCAGAGCTCGGGCGGCTTGTAACATCCCTCGAAGGCCATGGGGTCGTTCTGCTCGCGCCGACGCGAGGTTGGGCAGTGCCAGGTGGACCAACTCAAAGAGGAGCAGGAGCAGAGCCTCCTCCAGCAAGGGCTGCTGCATGAAGACGACGAACAGCCCCTTGCCGGTGCCCGAGTTCGCCGCGTTCAGAGGGTGGGCCTCAGCGTCTGCTGGCGAGGAGCACCTTCGCACAATCATAGGTTGAACACTAATACTAATACAATCATAGGTATACTACAGTTACGGCTTCTGATCCGCAACTCGCAGTCGTGGAGGGACGTCTCACGGTGTGCCGGCGGACCTTCAGCAAGGTCAGCTGTTCACTTGTATCGTGTTTTGAAACAGTGGGCATGAAGTCCCAACAGTTGCTGCGATTCTCATCACGTTGTGTTCAATTTTTTGTTTCTGCCATTGCCTATGGTGTTTAACGTTTGTGTTTCGGGCATGTGATGTGAACCCGCACTGACTGGCACTCACAGGAGGCCAACATGGCTCTTAACAGCCGCTTTGTGCAGGGATTATCGTGCCCGTGGTAGAGTCATGTTCAACCCAACTATCTGGAAAGTCTCCCAACCATGCGCGCTCCTTGCATAGGCCGTTTGGAGATGTGCATCTTAACTTGTGCTTCAGGCCTCATCAAATATTCATCCTTACCCTTCACCAGGTCGTCAGCCTAGGAACCCTAAACCTCCAAGCCCTTGAACCCCTGAAAAAAAACGAGCCCCCACAAACCCAGCCTCTTGGAGTCATTAGCAGAAGGGCGTCCCGCACCCCAGGAGCCGCGCTGCCGAGATCCTTCAGTCGTTGTACCGACTGCAGGCTTCCACCCTGTCCCTTTTCTTCTCTTCTCTTGTGTTGATTTTCAGACCTCGTGTTCAAATTTGTTGTGACTCGTTGAGTCTTGCACAGAGTGTGATTTCACATTAGAGCTTTACACATGATGCCTGCACACCAAACAGCAAAGTCGGAAACCCAAGGTGTCCCCACCCTAAACCCTACACTGAGCCCCGAGACCATGTATCATACCGCTCCGAGCAACGTCATCTAAGCGGCCCAAGGAATGCAGACGATTCGGCCCGTGAGCTGCGAGCAACACTGTTTATATTTCGACATGTTCGGTTGAGGGTTGAGTGAATGTTGAGTGCATTTCTATGTGTTTGATGATGTAGTGCTCGTTGCCACGTGCTATTGCTGTATCATTGCTGCAAGTAAGTATCCTGCACCGTCATTATCATGAATATGAGCAAGTATGATGCATGCAGTAGCATTACCATTACCATGATCACTCTACCAAGTACATCCATTGTCCTGGTTACTGCATGTGGATACCTGCAATTGACATCGGCGATGATGGTGATGACGATGCCAGGAGAAGATGAGTTCGTCTGCCTCCACGCAGCCTGGCCTTTGTTTAATACCTGGGCATTTACATACTATCGGCTTCCAACGGGCATTGTAAGGGTTCTACAGGGTTCCTTTAACTTGGACACGTTTGTTGAAAACATGTTGGTTGTTGTTCGTCGTGGGGTTTGCAGCAGCTTGCCACAAACTAAGCGGCATGAGCGACTGTCGGCATGGAGTGTTATGGACGTAGGGTTCCTACGGGCCCACAAGGCACGGGCAAGATTCGTTGTTGCATCATCAGAATTGGAAACCCAGTATAGCATAGCACCTAATCCAAAACTCTTTGGGTTTTAGGCTTTCGTCATCGAGTCTTGAAGGCACGTCCAGGGTCTTTGCTGAAGACTACAGACGACAAGTGCAGGCATGACGGCAAGGAAACCTATTGCAACAGCCTGGGGTTGAAGCATGGCAGGCCAGAGCAAATTGCAGCATGCAGGCATTCCCGAATGTAGAGGATCCTTGTCGAGACCCTAGGCTCATAAACAGTAGGACCTTACCTTTACCCCGAGGTGAGGAGCCTGGTTCGACGACGCCCCAATCTCCCCCACCCCATGCACTGTACACAAGAGTTGCAGAGTAACTGTGAAGATGCGCATGCAAGGCTGTGCCGCTGAGTACAGTAGGTAGAGATATGTCGGATGGACCGCTTAAAGTTTGAAATAAGGGTTTGAATACTTAGCAACATTATTCAAGTTGTCGTGCCTGCACCAATGATAGTACGGTAGTGTAGTTCATACTGATCAGAAATTATTTGTACGCTGTACTATCATGTATACAAAACCCAGGTGTCCGGGCTATCGCTTGAGAATGATTCTCAGCCTTGCCTGTGACGCACTTGGCTCGCGCAGCTTCAGATGTAGTTCGTGTGCTTCTTGCATGCCAGACGGGCAAGAGATTCTTCGCACCATGAGGGCGCAAGGTTGCTGTTGTGCGTACTTGAAGCGGGTTGGGACCTGACCGCATCACCTGAAAGCAGGAATGTGCATGGGACATAGGAATAATATTGGACCGGAGCCCCCATGACTTCGCAAGACAGCTGCCGCGAGCATGCTCGCCGCTATCACCGTCGTACGAATAACAAGACAGCGGTGCTGCTTGGATTGGTTAGGCCGTCAATCAGGGCTTGTATGTATGCATATATAATGCATATAAATACATGTACATGTGTATTTAATGTAACTCTATGAAAATATGCATACATGTTGACATTGGTATGCATGCATGCATGTGCATATGTATGCATGTATGTATGTATGAATGTATGTATGTATGTATGTACTTAAGTATGCATGTATGTATGTATGTATGTATGTAAGCATGTATGTAAGCATGTATATATGTATGTACGGATGAATGGATGGATGGATGGCTAGCTGGCTGGCTGGCTGGGTGGGTGGATGGATGGATGGATGGATGGATAGATAGATGTATTTCTGTCACTATGTATGTGTGTTGGTTTGTGTTGTTGTCGATGACGTTGTTGATGTTGTTGTTGTTCCTGGTGCTGGTGCTGGTGCTGGTACTGGTGCTGGTGCTGGTGCTGGTGCTGGTGCTGGCTGGTGGCTGGGGCTGGGGCTCATAACTGGGGCTGGGGCTGGGGCTGGTGCTCGTGGTGGTGGTGGTGGTGGTGGTGGTGGTGGGGGCGGCGTGGTGGGTTTTGTGTTGGTGTTGTTGCTGTTGTTTTTGCTCGGAAAAACTGAGGATCAACTGGTACACACATCAAGCCAACTTCGTGGATCAGTCGTCCCTTCGAAAGTTTGCAACCCCGGTTGCATCCTGGATCGCCTACGGCCCCGAGTGTTGGATTCCGACAGTAGAAGAGTTCGAGCTATTGACGAAGTTCATGAACAAGATGGATGGTGGGCCGTTGCCCGCTCGGTTGAGCGATGTCTTATGTGAGATGAAACACCGGCTCCTGTGTCTCCCCAGGCCGGCCGATGAGGCTTGGAATGCGGCAGAGAAGCAGCTTCGAAAAACCTATCGGCAGTTGCTACGCCGCTGCAACGAAACAGCTGCAGTCACGGCGATCGTCGCTGATGATGTTGATGTCGTGGATGCAGACGAGCGGGAGAAAACCTTGCAAGTCCGTGAAGCGGAAGATGCCGGGTCTCCCTCTACATCTGCTCAGTCTGCTCAACACCTTATGTTGTTTCGCAAGATGAACGAGTGGGGCTTTCTGGACAGCGCGCAGAAGCTCGAGCGCTTGCAGCAAGCCGAGGAGGCATCGAGGCGCTCATGGAGGAGCTTGAGCCAGGAAGAGCTGGCAGATATCCTCAACATGGCTGCAGCTTGCCTTGCAGATCCTCGCAGACATGCCAGGCTACAGGACGGTGATTCTGATGGTGCTGCAGACAAAGGCGAAGTCAGAACTGCCCCGGAATCGCAGGATCCGACGGTAAATCTGCAAAAGCGAATTCGGTCAGTATTTCTGCAGGCTCTCTACGTATGGCAGATGAACCATTTCGATTGTCGCGCCATCGAGCATGTCCTGGACTTTGTTCAACGGAAGATCATCACGTTCGAGAAGAAGGCTGGAGAGATTCAATGCGCTGCTGCGGCGAAGGCTTGGCTGAGAATCAAAGAGATGGTGGACGAGTTGCTGCCGCAGATAGAGGCGCAATCGAGCTCTTGTGCGCATGGCGCAGAAGCCCAGACTCAAGATGCTCACCACCTCGAGCGCAAGGTCAGTTCCAGACAGGATCGCCAGAGCGGCATCCAGAACATTTCCTGGAGAGCGGACACAAGTAGCTGGAGATGCGTGTACTATACGAGTAGCGCCAGGGAAAAACAGACAAGTAGCCAATTTCCCATTGCCAAATTCCTCGAGCACGGCCTTTCCGAGCAGGAGGCTGTTGAGGCTGCGCTGCAGGAAGCCAAAGCCTACCGCGAGGAGCTCGTGCGCCAGCGCAAGTTGGACCCCCCGAAACCGAAACCCCCCAGCTCAACGGTGATGGGCGTCTCCTTTGACATAAGCAAACAGAAGTGGAAGGTTCGGTCGTACAATGCCGTCGAAAAGAAGACACTGCACGTTGGTGTTTTCGATACGAAAGAGGAAGCTGAGGTCAAGGCCCTGGAGGTGGGCAGGCGACCAGAGGTTCGACCCGAATACGAGGCGCGGCCGACGAAGAGACGCAGAGCTGAGGTGGAGAGCAAAGCGTTTGACGCGGCATGTCAGCTTTTCGGGCCGACTCGTCGAAGTTTGGGTTAATTAAACCACATTAGGGTTCAGGGATCGCTTTGTAATCTAGGGCCGACCGAGTAAGGGTCTGGGGTGCTGCATGCTTAGCTGCTAGGCCCATGAGCCCGAAATCTTGCAAACGCACACAAAACTCCAAGGACAAAATATCTCAAAGCTACAGTTGCAGATTTGTTCAGGACAGACAGGCGATAAGCATTGAAACCAGGTCAAGAAGACATATGCTTGCACTGTGGTTTAGACCCAGCATGACTCAACCATGCCTTAAATCTACGGATTTCAACTCCATAACTCCAAAATTGCTTGTGATCCCAAAACTAAAGCTTCGAAACCCTTGAACCTCAATTTCCCAAGCCTAAAACCGTGGACCCTAAAATCCCCAAGCCTTGTTAGACCGGACCCTACGGTTGATGATATAAATCCTTCAGAACCCAGAATAAGGAATATGCCAGAACTCGCATTGTCTAGGTCCTTATAAAGGTAATGCAGGATTTGTGTCATCAGCCGTGATTTCCACAGTCTCCAAAACAATTTATAACTAGGGCCCTATATTTCACAATAAGGGAAGCTTAAAAATATTTCAAGCCGATACCTAGTTTTGGTTGAGGGCCTGTCGCCGAGGTCGTTGCCTCCCTCCACAGAGTGGTGGCGGACGCGGCGACTGTCGGAGGTTTCCATCGAGCCGAGTTGTTGAAGGTTTGTTTAGTTTCTGAGATCCATATAGGTTTAGGGTTTAGGGTTTAGGGGTTTAGGGTTTAGGGTTCTCATTCATGATGGTTCTACAAGGGTTCTACAATGGGTTCAGCGGTTTCGGGGGTTTGAGCTCTGCCAAACCTCTACTTCTCTGTGGCTTACACGCAATACCCAGAACGCCTGTTCGGGAGGAACTGCTACGAGACCTTTGCATTATATTCCCCATGATAGTTATCAATGCGTCCCCCAGGCCCCCTCTTCCATGCAATTATGCATGCCCTGCATTCCTTGGGAGGACCGGTCAAATTTAGTCTTTCTTCTCGAGCTCTTCGGTGCAGGGTTTCCTGGCCTCTTTCCTCTCGAGCTCTTCGCGAAAACAGAGCTGGGAGCAACGACGAGCAACGTATGTTCGTCAACTGTTTTCAGTTTCTTGGTGCGTGTTAGGAAACTGTCAATCGTCAGGCTGAGATAGGAGTCGGCACTGCTCAAATTTGGGAGTTTCCATAGGGAACCCTAATATGATGTAGTATATACCCCCAATAGTAGGATCATTTTTATTAGGACCCCAAAATAAGGTACCCCTAATTCTCGGAGCTCCCATATCAGACTTATGAGCCCCCTTGTTCGGAAGCGGCAGCAGGACATGATGGACACCGCAGACAAGGTTGGCTTGCCAAGAGCTTTTTTCGTTGCCGGCTTCCGCAACAGATCCTAGGTATTTACATGTCACATAGTGACATAGTATTAGTTGTCGGCTTTCTACATTAAGAAATGCCGTTCATGGCTCGTGCAAGTATCCCAAACGCAGGTTGTCAGGTTCCTGTAGTTTCTGGCAATAGTGCAGACCGGCTTCAACCCAGTTGTGATTGTGTGGATTTTTTTCATGCGCCTCGGTTACAAGCTTCCTTTGTGCAATCTGCTACCCGATCCTCCAGGCACATAATTCCTATTGCTTGACTTGTCTTCTCGTCAGTAACGTAGCGCACAGATACAACATGTCTTCTCGTGATCAGTTTTTGTCCATTCAGATTCGGAGGACAACCAAAACGGCAAGGCAATGCCTTAGGACCAATCTCGTGCTGCAGCGCGGCAGAGACAGCGAGTGTGTGTGTGTGTGTGTGTGCGTGTGTGCAGATGCTTCTGCTCAGCATTTAGTCAGAACCACTCCGAGACGCCCGGAAGGCACTTCTAAACCTGCCATTTTGGACAAGGGAAGCGCGGACTTAGGTTACCGTTATAAGGCGCTTCAGATACAGATGCGCAGACAAACAAGCGCGCACGCACAGAGACAGACGGACAGACAGACACACACACACACACACCCACACCCACATGCATGTATGCATGTATCTATGTATGTATATATGTATGTATGTATGCAGTTATGTATGTATGTATGCTTGTATGTGTGTGTATATATATAATATGTGTATGTATATCTATCTATATGTATGTATGTATGCATGCATACACATGTGTATTTATGTGTGTATGTTGTATGTGCACAGACACACACACACACACACATATATATATATATATATACATGCACGTCACCAGGATCCACAGACGATACTTTAGATCCCCGCGAAAGCCCAAATGACTGTCTGCAGCCTCTGCAGAGGGATTGGACATCCTCCCAACAACAGGGGATGTTGAACTTTTTTTCGCTGCGAAACCTTTAGCCGCCTTAGCCCTCATGAAGTCCTCAATCCCTAGACCTTCATATCAATCTGGAGACAAAGCTTCATTGACCTTAGCACGCCACAAGCGCAACATATGTATATACTCAATTCGTAAGCAACGAAGAATAGCAACCAAAAGCAAGATACACAAGATTGGTTTCATTTGCAACAGGAGGTCCTCGAGGAAACGTCCTTCGAGGCCTTTGCCGGTGCTTGCTTGGAGGATTTCAGCTCAAAGGTTTGGGTCTTAATAAAGGGGCCTTAGAATTAGAATAGGGTTTTGGGGCCTGTTGTACTAGAATTATAAGGAGCCGCCAAATTAGTATAGGCAGATATGAAGGCCCGTCTAGTACAGGGCTTCTATGGGTTGTAAAGCCGAAGGGTCTGTTGGGTTTTGTTGAAGAGCTCACAGGGACCTGGGGTGGTTAAACCGCCTACTGTAAACCCAAGCCTCCTCATCCCGCAAAACAGCCCTAAACCCTAAACCCTAAACCTGCTCTGAATTTCGCTCCGGCCCGGATCCAAAACAGGGCCTGGGAGTCGAGCAGATAGCGTTTAGGGTTGAGGATGGAGGGCTGGGCCAACATCGCAGTAATACATTTCAACCCGAAACCCTAAACCCCTAAACTCTATACCCTAAACCAGGCATGTCCGAGTGTGAGTGCTGAAACCATGTTTGTTGTGCTTGCTTTTCACTGTAGTTATTTATCAACCGCAAACTGGGCGAGTTTAGGGCTCCGGGAGAGAGCTCCGCCGTGGTGTGCGCCTTGCCGCTTGGCTTTCGAGTGCTTCTCGGAATAGTTTCAATATACCAGGACCCTCCTTGTACCCTCAAACAGGGGTATATGGTCCCAAATAAGGGGCATTTAGGGTCTAATGGATGGAGGGTCTAGGTAGTTTCCCCTTGTAGTCCCGTAAAATTCACCCTGAAACCCTAGTCTGCTTGTTAAGACCCTATCTCAATATGATTTCCCCTTGTAGTCCCGTAAACTATACCGTGAAAGTCTAGTCTGCTTGTTAAGACCCTTGTATTACTGGTAGTATGTCGTCTCGACCATGGCATGTGGCGGCTCTTTGACAAGATTTGGCTCTGTTGCTGCAGCCTGGGAAAGCTAACTGCAGGAGAACTGCCTGGGGCATGTGAGGGCGAGGATCTCTGAACCTAAGGGGCAATGGGTTCTTCAAGGGATCTTTATGGGTTCAGGAATTGCTTACTCCAAGGCAGAAAGAGGAGAACTCGGAAGGCCTAGAGTGCAAAGACTAGTATTAAAGATGTAGAGGGCCAATTTAGGCCTGGAGTGCTTTTACAAGATTTACCGCCTATCCGTCCGGATTCAGGGCGTAGGGGTCATGAATTATGGGGCTTAGGGCTTCTAGGTTCTAGTGCTAAGCGAGCTTCGAAAGCATTCGGGCCGGGCATTGCCATGGCGGAGGCGGAGGCAAATGCGCTGCCCCTGTCGGTGCAAATCCAATCCTTGAGTGATCGCGTAGCGGCCTGTGCTGCTCGAATAGACTCCTTTGGCAGGGTTCCCAATGGTTCCCATAAGGGTTCCTATAAGGGACCTATAATGGTACCATAAGGTTTAGGGTTTAGGGGTTGGGGAGTTTCTGAAAATTAGGGGTACCTCATTTTGGGGACCTTATAATAAGGATCCTACTATCTAGGGACTACTATATTAAGGTCCCCTATTTTCGGAAACTCCCATTTTTGTCGGGCCTTGTTTGGCGTAGTCAGGAAGCAGGCCTCTGAACCCTTGTCCGAAACTTGAGACCCCACATGGCGCAAGGTTGAGGCTTATAGGGCGTAAGTATAGGGCTTCTGAGGATGTAGAAGTTAGTTTCAGGCTAACCTGCATTGCTTGGAGATGGATTTGAGGCTTTTTTCATCGTAGATGGTTTGCTAATACTTAAGTTGTAGAGCAACTTCAGGGTGCACAAGGCTTCTGTCGTCACAGGACTGAGCAGCTTAGCCCTTTGCATCGACGTTTCCTGCTGTAAAAACCCGAAATCCTACGACTCCATGCATTGATTGCTCAATGCCAAACAAAGACCGGCGAAGCTCTATGAAACCCGCAAACCTTGACCCTTCAAAGCTTTTGAATGCCTTACAGTACCCTTCTGGATTCTTTAGAAATCTAAGCGAACCCCAGGAAGCGCGTCTGGGAGCCGCCGCAGCACAGGCGCCCCTGCGGCGCCGGACGGCGGAGCTCACGCGCCGTGTTGAGGCCGTCTTATGCTTCGAAAGGGTTTCATACGGTGCATGATTTTGTTCTATGGGGGTTGCAGAGGTCTTTCGTTACAGCTGCATAGGCAGTATCTACGGTTCCATTTTCATACGTGGGCTTATTCTTTAAAGGCCAACTCAAGTTAGGCTGGTTTTGTCATTAAGCTTGGCGACTTTAGGGTTTGCGTGTGGGTAGGGTGTTTCTGTTTAGGAATTGGAGTTTTAGTGCTGAGACTCCAGGGTTCAATGGGCCAGGGGCTAGAGGATTAAGGTAAATCCCATAACCCCCACTATAGAAGCCTTATCCCTAAGGGCCCCAAAATAACGTACCCCCCCTCCCAAAGAGAGATCTGAAATCCCGGTCTCTTTGGGTTGCTCCGGGCTTCGTAAGTGGAGCTTCGTTCTATCGCTTGCAGGAAATCTTCAAGCGCCATCCGAAGTTGCTGGCTGCCTTGGCTTCATACTTCCCTGCCTCAGGGTGTCTATATTCCTTTACAGGGGGTATAACTTCCACACGCTTTCTTTGATTGTTACTTTCGGGGTTTTATCATGTATCACGGCGTGCATAATTCAATTGGGGTTTTGGAGTTTTGGGCAGGTTTAGGGTTGAGCCCTTACCGGCTTTTTCGCTGATAGCCGAGGGGATGGATTGTGGCAGTGATTCGATTCCTGTAGGATTCTAGAACAGGTCCAAGATTTATGAAGGTAGCCTGGATCCTTGGGAGAAGATGATAATCACTGGACCTTCGACCCTCAATTGCTGAAGACGCTTCGATGCACAATTCGAGGAATTGGAGCGTGGTCGCCTGGCAGCATCCCGTGCTTGAAAACTTCGCACCCGCGGTCATGGTTCGATTTAGGTGAAGGCTCAGGCTTATGGGCAGGAAGTCAATATGCTTTGAGTATATGCTTCAAGTCTTGCTGAAGTTTTGGTTTTCACGGACTCACAAATCACACCTCTCCTGCTGTGTCCTTGTGAAATTTCCCTGTCTTGAAGCGCCGTGTTGACCTGTCCTCATGCGAGCGTAGTCTTTTGAGTTAGATCTGAATGCACCCTGTACGACAGACGTCTTGGGCTCAGACCAAAAAGTGCGCTCGTAGTGTGGTTGGACACTCACTAATCCAGTTCCTGCTTCAAACTGGTAGCGGAGCTGTGAGGACAACCACTAGTGTTTCACCCCCGTAGAGCCTGTGGTCCGGGGTCCGTTGGGTAGAGTAGTGATAGTCGCGGCGCAAAGGCCCCTTCTATCTGAAGCCATGAGCGTGGCAGGTTTGCGTTACCAGCCCAATCTCTGGTCACAGAACCTGAGCCCTGCAGAAACGAAAAGCGGTTCGTACATATACGACGGTACGGCTGCTGGCTTCCACGATTGGTGCTTCCGGACACAGATCCGCGTGCTGCAACATAAGGAGAAGCAGCGGCGTGAAGCTCTTAAGGACCTGCGATTTGCCGAGTCGGCAAGGGCCAAGAGCGAGTCACCAAGGAAGTGGCGTGGCAGGGCAAGTCAGGGGACCAGTGCATCGCCCACAGATGGTGATGGAAGCAGCGGTATACCCGCCAGTCCGTCCAGCGCAAAACGGACTAAGCCCGCGTCCGAGGCAGAAGATGAGGATGCGGAGTCGTTGCCGTCGCACCCCAGCCAAGTGGCGGGCGACGATGAGCAGGAGCCGGACACAGATCCGGCGGTGTACACCTTGCAAGACATTAAGGACGAGTCGCTTGATATGAGCGAATGCGTTAGCAAGATTTTGGAGGGTCTCCGAGGAGACGCCTTTTGCATTGCTCGCGACGTCGGCCTGGAACGTCTGCTTCGCCATGATGGCGTCGACTACCTGATAGAAGAAATCAGGAGGCAAGCTTTCCCTCTTCAATCTGAAGAGGCGTCCGAACTTTTCCGTCAGGGACAGCTCCTGACGGGCCCACTTGCAAAGCAACCCGGCGAGCCTATGTTGTCTTACATAGCCCGCCGAAAGCGGTGGTGGTCGACCTTGCGTGAGCTAGATCCTGATATCCGCCTTTCTGAAGCAATGAGGGCTAACCTCCTTGTTGAGCTTTCAGGGTTGGAAAGGAACGAACAGCTAATGGTCAAGACCGCCGCCCGCGTACACACCGTGGATGAGTACGCACGCGTCCTTGTTCAGCATCACTCAGTGGTGCACATGAAGGAACGTCTTCTTACCCAGAAGGACCCTAGTGGCCCAGGTAAGACCTGGAGACGTTTCGACGCTAAGCCACAATACCCTAAGTTTGGTTACATGGGGTATGATGGTAGTGCCGCAGAGTATGGTCACCAGGAACAACAGGAATCCGCGGAAGGCTACGGTGACGGCTACGGCGAAGAAGCATACCAGGCCACAGCGTCTGGGGGAGATGATGCGGATGAATGGATTGATGATGAAGACCTAGCATTGCAACTCAACGCCTATACGGCAGTGGCATATGAAGCTGAGATTGACGATTTGGATGATTCCTATGCCGAGTCAGTTCAGCTTGCGTACGCGGCACAGACCGCCTTTGCCCAGGCGAAAGGAAAAGGAAAAGGGAAGAACAAGGGCAAGTCCTCCGGAAAATCCGGAGGGAAGGTCGTGCGTAGCAATTTGACTATTGCTGATCGTAAGGCCAAGTTGGCAGAGCTTAAGGCAAAGAGTAGGTGCCTGAAGTGCGGTGTGATCGGCCATTGGGCCGGAGATGCTGCCTGCAAGTTTAGCGGTAAGGGCAATGGCCCCAAGGGCACCACAACCCCAGCACAGTCTGGGGGAACTGCCAACGCAGCCGCAAAGCCGGCGGCGCCGAAGCCCCAGGCGTATTTCGCCGCAGTGGAGGAGGATGACACAGAGTGTGTCCATCTGTCGAATGCGAGTGCTGGTAGGCTCGAGGGTTACCCAGCCAATCTTGAGCTGACTCCCTCAAGGACCAATACCGGCAAAGGCCGCGGCAGTGAAACCCTCTTCTCACCGCAGCTTCGGCGCACAGC